TAATCGCAGCTCTATGGGGGGCTGGGAAGAGTGAACCTGTAATTGAAAATCCGTGATTTTGGTGTTGCGTCGCAATTCGTTAGTGCACTAACACCCTCTCACGCACGAGCTATCGTGTGTACGAGAAACAAGCAGATAAAGCGGTCCAGAACCTTGGCTATTGTAGAGCGTGGATTAGCCTAAAACTTTGAACGCGGGAATGAGATCTTGATGCTACGAAGAGAGCCGACTCCTACGGTCTTGTACGATTCTTGGAGTATTAGTCAGATTCCGACTAGAGTCGGACTCTTCATTCAGATTGGGGTCATTTATGTTTACATAAAGCTAAAATACACGGCCGCATACCGCTATCAAGGGAACCGATAACGGCTAGCACCCAAATCGCACGCAGCACCAGATATTGTACGATACTGAGAAGGCGAGTCTGAACGATTTGAGGCGCCGCCAGCGTGCAAATATTATTGCAGAGCCTGTTCAGTTGTCTAGTCCGATGCAGAGTAACAATAGGCTCTCCCATATTGCTCCAGACGGACTTCGTGACAGCATCGCAATAGCTTAGCGCCGCACTTGCCACACGGGGGTATCTGTAAGTCGGGTCGCCCTGGGTCGACCTTGACACGACAACGGACGGCAAGCTCCCGCGCACGTATTTGCCTGTTCTCCTTTTCGCACGCCTCTTCGGTTTCGTAGCCAGGGACGTTCAGCCCAGGAGTAAGAAACATTCGCCGCGCGCATGACATGATAACCGGCGACGGTTCAGCGAAGACCGTTCGCTCGAACCGCTGGTTTTGCGGCAGACCCAGCGCAAATGACGGAGCTGTTGTAACATCTTTATATAATTCCCACGCGCTCGGTCCGAGCCAGGTCTTGAGTCGGTTATACGTCATCTCCTCTAGGATAAAGCACGACCGCTGAGGGATGTACGACGCCAGTGGAACCCACGGATAGTTGGTATGCGACGACGGAATCGTGTAGCACCGCTCCAAGATTAGCGATATATGTCATAAATACAATCGACGCAGACTATGGCTGAGTTTAACGGTGTGAATTAATATAAGAACCATCGGACAGGTATTCAATGGGTCTGGACCATAAGCCAACAATGCCTTTTATTATCGCCAACCACCACGACTTGCCACATCCGGGACCGCCGTGGAAAACGAGAACATTACCCCGCGTTCGCCCATCACGCGCCCAGTCCAAAACCATAGAGCAAAAAGCAAATAGCGGCTGCTTCGAATGTAATTTTTGGTAGCGGCAGGGTAATTCAAGGTTTTCGGCCCACTCAAACAAAGCACGAGTTTGGCGTTGGCCGCATGTGCACGGCAGGGCTTCTGCTGGATCCGTTAACAGGTCCACAAGGTGACGGCGACGGAAATTTTTCGCGTCTAGCTCCTCGATAGCACGAGCCAGAACGGCCTTCGCGTCCCTCCGCCCATCCATGAGATAATCGCGCATTTCCACGCTATGATCGACGTCGATATACAATTCATTTAGTGCGCGAACGTTGTGGAGTTCCAGCCAATCTTTAAACTGGTTCCAAGTAACATTACCCGACCCGGGAGCGTCTGGCGCATGGCTCGCAATTTCCTGTGCTGTCTGTGGTGTGACACCCTCAGCTGTCCATACGAAACACGTTCCCGGAAAGTCTAGTTTTTTTTTGCGGCGCGTTGGCGCGTACAAGTATAATACTCCTTGCTCGAATGCAATTGGCGTGAAGTTAACCGCCATACCATAGTCGTTGCGCAGTGTATTAGCGATTCTCTTCCATCGGAACGCCGTGGCTCCACCTTTAGTCGAACATCCGGTGGTAACCACCGCGTGCATATGAATCCGACAGTATTTCCAAAAGTCAAAAGAAGGGGGACCTTGATCACTTGGGCGAGGACATCTTTCTGTTCTTGCGACGATGCGTTTCGCGACTTTACCCGCGACATGCATAGAGTTGCGAATAGCTACGACAAACTCCTTGTTAGTACAATCGCGCGGTTGACGTAGGTGGGGATTACGCTGAATAGTGTCGTCGTTTAATTGCAGCCATGTGATCATATAACTCGTATACCCGTTTTTGTTACCTTGCGTGTCCGATGGGCCGCACCACTCTACTTTGGATGTGTTAACACTTCCCCACTCGTAATGCCTTGTTTCCGGATGAGTTGCGAAATTGTTATCGAAATATGTTTCGATAATAGCTTTCGGCAGCGGGGTATCACGAGGTTGTATCAGATGCAGGCGTTTTTCCGACGTAGCACCAGGCGTGGGGAGCGATCCGCGAATTTCGCAATTGTTGTCCCGACGGATCGTTCCACTCGCAGTCTCATTAGTGTAGGTAGGAGCTTCACTATCTACGCTGTTCATCGGCGATCTTGATACTGCGACTACCGGTCTACATGTTACCTCGCCTCTCCGTGCAAGGTCAGTCACTAGCGAGACAAAGGATGCGTCAACACATTCGCGCGCTTTATAATTGATCGCTGTTTCACTTTCTTTCAATGGCGCCTGTGTCTGCGATGATGAATGGGGAGCAGCTCTGGCTCCGGCACCATCTTCCATTGATGTCGAGCCTTTAAGGTGACGGCGGGGAGAGTTTTCCCGAGAGCCGCTCGCAGTATTGCTATGCGTTCTGGAAGCGGTGGAGAAGGCACTCTCTTCATCAACTGTATCTGAACTTGACCCAAAGCGTCGCCGCTTCGATTCTCGCAGAAAAGCGTGCTTCATTGTTAAACTGCGATGTTCAACGCTTACAGACTTGCGATAATACTAAACCACTAAGGTACACATGCCAACAAAGGACTACCACGAAGAAGAAAACAATCTACAAGTACCGGAAAAGGGCAACCCCCCGAGCTATTTCACTGGTTAAGGCATTGGAAAATACAGCGTATAACAGTTGAACGGGTCCGCTAGAACTAAGTTACGCCGCAATATTACGTGACGACCCAGTGAATAAGTGGTCTATAGTGTGTGTTGTTCATAGTACAGCGATTCCGATCCGCGGACGCGCCATGCGGTTAGCGCGCCGGGTTTGTTTTTGTTTTTTTTTCGTACAGGATATTCATCAAGTATGTTCACCATGCACGTCCTATGTTCCTTGCGCATTTCACCGCACGTCTTCGCAATATTATACTTCCAAGCAAGTTACCTATGACAAACGACACACGTTTTTGACGACTCCGCTTTGATCTTCGCGAGCCTAATTTTTCCGTGGCGCTAGATCATGTGCAAGGTGAGTTAATCCGTCGACGCTACATAATAGGTTTCGTAAAGAGTTTCCACTCAAGCTTTTCAATGCGGTTTCCAGGTCACGAATCGACCTCACAACCTGAAGAGAATGAGCGATAGAGGCTTGAGTACGGAGAGCCGTGTTGGTGTTCGTTAAAAAACCACAAAAAGGGTGGCGATCCTCATATTGTGAGACAACAAGAGTACTCCTACCAGTCGTAACTGTACCTCTTCGGCGTCACTCTTCGCGGACGATCGTTCGGCGTCCGACAACATATGCGACTTGGGTTGTTGATTGGGACGGTATGTATCAAACGCGGCGACTCGGGGGGGTGCACTTCCTCCGCTCGTCGGTTTTCCAAAGGCTGCCATGGTTGGAGCACCAATCTCGTTACCGAATGCGTAGACAACATGACAATCGGGCGCCTGCGCGTTCCATACATGCGCATTTTAGTGAAAAACAGATGCTGTCGCAAGAAAGAAGTCTGAGGGAAGAACGCTAGTATCTAGTGATTACAAAGAGGGAACTGCATCACAACAAGGTGGTACGCAAAACGACAATTATAGACGACAACTTGGCCAGCATGTGCTGTATATACCGCGTTGCACTTCATCCCCTTTGGAAGCAGTATAGCCGATCCTACGCGGAGCCTCTCGCCTTTTCTGTCCCGCTCCCCTGCTTCTGTGCCCAAACACCAAAAGAATGTCCGCGATAAGTGAGCGAGATAGAGCGCCAATGCGAGAGGCATGGCCTGATGTATATTTATTACGTAAAAATAATGCACAACCTACAGATATATTGGAGGTAAATTGAGCAAAGCAGGCGCCTATAGGATACCATGTACTCGTCGTCGTGCCAAACGATTTCGCCATCTCCTTCCTGGTCCCATCGCATCGGTTCAGGTGCGAGATTATGCACGACTAAAGCGCGATAATCAATTTCGAAACTGGGCATCGCGTGTGCATCGACTCCTAGTTCGGCTATCATGCCTGAAAATGTTGTTGGAAAATTGGCCAACAATGCACGAACGCTGGTTTTTTGACCACCCGCGTAAGAGTGGAGCATGTCAGCGGTAGTGGTGAAGTCCAAGACCTCGTGCGACCCTGCGGCGTCAACCATCTTGAAGAGCGTCACAAATACAGACTAAAACTTATGACGAAACGAGTCAAAAGGGTTCTAGTTGTCCTGTACGTTGTATTCAGATACTACCGTAAACCTGTTAAGAAGCAAGTACGTAGTTCAAGAACATCACTAAAGGGCTTGTCGAAGGTGGCCAGCGCGGAATGGTAGTGAGAAAGAACCAGCGAAAATTGTTGACTATGTTGGGATCATTATCGAGTCAGCTTATGAATTGAAGGGCTCACCGTCGGGGATCACATGCAGCGACTTTTTTGGGGATGCGCGAACTGCGACGGCGGCGAATGATCTCGGATCGGCGACTTTTTCGCAGCCTCAGTTAGAGGATGGGACATCGAATTGCTTTGTTGATTAGCAGATCCATTTCTAAATTTGTATTTCTTAGAATAATGGGCTGAGACATTCATTACGGGCGTAGAGTTTGTCTTATTTTAGAACGCGTGGCCGAAGAGTGACAACAGCCACCGAGTAAACGTGCAGTTTTTGACCAAGTACACGGTATTGCAAAGCACTATCTTGACTAATACACCTAAGCGCAAACATGCGCGCCATACCGAGTCTCGAGCGGATATAATCACATCTAAATAGAGACTAACGAAAAAAAAAAAAAAAAAAAAAAAAAAAAAAATAATTCAGCGACGGCGACTAAGTCCCAGCGGAGAGGCTGTACGCTATAACGACGCTAAAGTACGATGTAACCACATAGAGTGGGTATAGTTTCGTCTAAACCGAGAAAATATGAAACGAAGATACGGAACCAAAAAAGTAGAATCCCAGAGAACATTACCCGCTCCAATTTTTGCCCGACTAATATACTAGAGCGGGTATTGTCCCGATATAAGATTGGCCAACTGCGACTAAGCCTTGCCAAGGCGCTTGTACGCTAGAGCGGTTGTATAGTAGAATCGCTATTCCGGAAAGTAGGGATGATCCTATCTAAATTTAGGAATATCGCCAAAATGAATAGGAACCAGCGAGACAATACCCGCTCCAACGCTCGGGCATGAAGAAATATTGGTGCGGGTAATATCGCCGAAGGAGAATAATCGAAAATGACCTAGAGCGAGTATCATCACGGCCACGGCGAGGCAATATGGGATAAAAAATCCGAACTAAATGAATGGAAACCAGCGAAGCGAGACAATACCCGCTCCAATGTTCTTACATGACGAAATGTTGGTGCGGGTAATATCGCCGAGAGAAGAGAATCGCACATCACGTAGAGCGAGTATACTCACAGTCGTAGTGAAGCACTAAAGACTAAAAAACCGGAACCAAACCAATATGAATCGATGAGACAATATCCGCTCTAATGTTCACACAAAACGAAATATTGGTGCGGGCAATATCGTCGAGAGAGAATAATCGCAAAACATTCAGCCTTGGCAACGGGCCTGTACGCGATGAAGACTGTGTAGTTGGATCGTAGTTATAAAGAGCGAGAATAATCCAATCTAAATAAAGATTAACGAAAAATGAAAAAGGATGAGTCACCGGCAGCGACTAGGTGGTAGCAGGCGGGTTGTACGCGAGAGCGACGGTTTAGTACGAGGTAAACACATAGAGCGCGTACAACCATATCTAAAATGATAAAACACAAGTTAAGATAATCAAAGCCATAAACCTACAAAATAGCGGGATATTACCCGCTCTATTTTCCACTCGCGGTAAAATGACGGAATGGTATTATCGCGGGGTAATATTTATCACGAGCGGTTAAGTCTTGGCAATGGGCCGGTACGCTATGGGGATTGTGTACTAGAGTCGTGATTATAAAGAGCAGCTATAATTTCACATGAGCCGGAAAACTAGAGAATCGAGAAGTCAGACCCGAAAGAACGTGAACTCCTACAAACAACTATTCACTTACAGGAAAATATAAGAGCAGGTACTTTTCGAAATCACGTCCGGTGAAACAAATCTAAGTATTGGGGTGGGTATTCTTCCGAAACCGGAATACTAGCGGAAGCTGTGCAGGTACGGATGACGCCTAGTTTTTGTTTGTAATAATATGTAGCAATAGGCCAGACGATGGAGAAATACTAAAGAATGCGCAACATTCTATCGCGGAAGCGGCCTTGTGGGTCCTGCTTGGCAATTATGGCGCTGTTCTCACGAAAAATGTGCCTAACTCGTTTATCTCAATACGTTGCGGCTCAAGAACATCGCTCGCGTATTAACTGAAGGCGGTCTATAGCGTGACGAATAAGTAACATACTAAAACGCTCGAGCATAGTGATGTGAGATAGCGTCAGTATATCTCGAGCAAGATCTTTTGTTGCAAGTGTGAGGCTCGTCTCATGAGAGGTGTCGCTAGCTCGTCTATCGCAGAACGGTGTGGTTCGAGAAGATCACTCAGGCATGAGTTACAGGGCGTAGGTGAGTTTCACTCCGTATCCGGTATGTGCCAGACTATTGGACTCTATGTAACAGACGTTGACTCATCGCAGTAGAAGTTATATGCTCTGCAAATTCCGTCACCCGACGTCCGTATTCGTTCGAAGTTAATTCGCATAAGCTACAGGGTAGCTAACTATAAACATGTTAGATAAATGTGATGCGACATCTACATTTGCAACTTAGCAAAGTTCGTTTTTCTCCCGAAAAGTGAGTTCTTACGAGGCCTCAAATTCATGGAATTGATTTGTAACACATTTCCAGCTACGAAAATGCGTTCCGAAATTCTTACCTCCACTGAAAACTTACAAATTTCCAGATTTCTACCAAAAATAAAAAAGAAGAATAGGAGTCCTTTGCTTCTTTGTTATGTTTTAAAGAAATTCTGGAAATTTCCCCTACTTCCGTGGGGTTTCAAAATTCCAAAAAAATTTCCGACACGGAAATTAAAAAAAGGAACTGGAGTCTTTTTACTTCTTTGTTATGTTGTAAAGAAATTTTGGAAATTCATCCTACTTCAGTGTGGTTTCAAAATTCCAAATATATTTCCGACACGGAAAATGAGTCGAAAAAATTCGATTTCGGACAAACAACATGAGTCGAAAAACTGTGATTTCCAACAAGGAAAAGGTGTCGAAAACTTCTGAATGCAACGGACGAACACACGCTGAAAGAAGTTACGGAAATAATTTGCAAAATTAATCGGCGGCACCGCAATGCGTACGAGCATGAGCGACTCTCCGCGCGCGTGGAAGGCGCGGTATTGACACACGGTAAGCCCATCGGCGTCGGTTATATACAAACCCTGGAACTTAATAGAGAGGTCCTTAAATAGTCGATCACCGGAGCGGATTTCGATGGCGTGGACATTGTCGTACAGAAAAAAGAACAGCGCCCCTGTTGTGCGATACTTCCAGTATGCGTGATATTATTTGCGGCATTACCTGTTGATTTGTAACATTATGACCTTACGACATATGCTTTATTTAGGTAAACGTGACTACGTCAAATTTACACATTTACTTGAATTTTCGGAACATTATTCTTGCGATTTAGTGCCCCAGTTTCATACCGAATATTGTACAGTTTCCTGTGCGCCCGGTATCAGCATTTTAGAGCCATATTTGTTGCGTTCGTATTCCCCTTAAATGCCTCCATTATGCGCCTCAAGCGGTACAGCTTGAGGCATTTAAGCGAGGCAGATAAGGGGCTCTCGCTTTTGAAATTTTATAGTTCTTAATTACGCCATATCGGTGGTCTGATCCCCTTAACTGCCGCGCATTATTTAATGAGATCAACTAACACGCGTGTAACTTTACAGCGACGTTGCCGCTTCGTCTATTGCCTCCAAGCGCGCAAACCGTTGCTCAATCTCGTGCATCGCGGTTGGGTAAAGCTCTCGGAGTCGCTGTATGAACTTCCACAGAGGTGCGCGAACTTTTCCCGGTGGTCCATTTTCTAGATAAAAGCCACAACTTTTGAAGTGAGCTTCCTTATGCCAATGCACAGCTTCGCGCATCTTCAGCTCCTTCCAGTAATCTACATTTTCGAAGGTGCTGCGGTCTTTATCATCGTATGCATGATCTTCACCAACCTTCCGCACGTCAGCGGCCATACCGCACGTATCTATAACCTGAATTAATCCAGTAGCGCCTCCCCCGATTCGGACAAACCAGATATTATACTCTTGGACAAAGAAGTCCGACTCTACGTCCGTATAGGAGTGGCTATTACACTCATCGAAGAGTAAAATGCACGGCTTGTTCCAACCGACGATCGTCCTCTTATTCTTCCCAAACGAATTCAGAGCGTCCCAAAACATGTCCCGGGTTACGTAACCGTTTCGCGCGTTTGCCGGGTTAACTTCACACGTTCCAAAATGCCCGATAGCGTGGACACAGTCTTTATAGCGCGTCTCTAGTCGATGCGACTTTCCAATAACCCAGTCACGACTGAGCACGACAAGTGGGGGAATGCGAAGCGCGGGGTTACTGCAGGCCCACGCCATAACCGATCCGTGCGACGAGTTATTCTCGCGTTCTTGGCAGTATTCTCCCTTTTCGGTGACTGTTACGCAGGTGTCGAAGCCGCCAGTCGGCACATAGAACTTTAATACAGGCACTTCATCGACTGATACAAGGTCAACGCACCCAGCAAGGTCAGCGTTTTCGTTCCAGTTCATAAACTTGCGGATTTTCTTCTTAGTCAGGTGAAAACTGCACCACGTCCTTAGGATGCTTTCGAATCGTTTCAAGTTCCCCATTGTGTTGCCTGAAAAGTTCGGTTTTGATCGTGGAATTGCGTCGATATCCCGCACGTCCTGCGTCGCAGTATTTCGAACCTCCCATCCACCCATAAGCCGCGAAACATACTTTCTAGCAGCCGCCGACTTCGGGTCATATTTGGAAGCAGCGTTAGTCAGCGCGCCAGCTTCAATTAGTCGCGCCCATATTTGTTGCTGGGTAATTCTACCCCGTCGTTCGTCGATAACTTTTTGCATAACTACGTGCTCTGCCGCTTCCATTTCTCGCGCGCGGCTTCGCGCTTTGCGTTTACGCTGTACTTGCCACATTCGCTCGGTAGACTCGACGGGTAGCGCCAAACTGTCATCTAGGTTCTCCGCCGTACTTTTCGCTATATTCTCTTTTTTTACTACCGTCGTCCCCGATCTTAGCGAGTTGTTGTCCGTTCCCTGTCCTGTGTTCGAACTTCCGCTGGCGGCTCTCGAGGTCGAAGCCGCAAGGTCGGTCACCGACAGCAGCGCGTCGTTCTTGGTAAGTTCCGTTGAAGAAGTTGCGCCATCTTTCTTAATAGGAAAGAGCCAATCCGCCGACTGCATTGCTTCGCGAGAACTTTGGTTACCACGATTTCGGTACGTTACTTCGCAGTTTGAGCAGACCTCTGCATCCGTGGAGTGAACATTTTCGCGATTCCCTCCACGCGACGGCTTTAGGACAAGGGAAGGGGATATAACTGCCGCGACAATCTGACTACCCTCAGTACTCGACTGCTTCTCCGTCTTTTGGCGTTTTGGCGCGTGTCCGCCCACACTACAAGCTCCGCCGTTGCGCTCATCATCGTCATTTGCTCGACATATAGCCCGCGCTTCTGCCGCAAAGTCAATTTCGGCCGGAGTCATATCAGTGCGAGTGTTGCGCTTTGGCTTTTCCGGTGGTTTATTTTTTTCTGGACTCGGTAATAGCGTACATAGTGGGCCGTCATGCAGCAAGATTGCGGGATAACTACTACCAGGGGTCGTAAATATCTCCGGACGAGGATCCTGTCGCGATATCATTTTTGCAGTCAACTCTTCTTGGATATTCCCCGCGCGCGCGGTATTCGTAGTTAGTGACTCTGCCGAAATGCCAAATACTGCAGCGACGCGCTCGACAGCTCGCGAGGTGAGATAGGACGCAGACTCTTTCTGACCGTGTCCACACAAGACACCAATGTACCTACATTCAAAACGTTCCCACGTATCCATTCCACGTTTTAACGTGCACCCATCTGCTAGACCAAACAACACACGCCGTTGGGCTTTGCACTTATGGCAAGGCAGACACGTAACTTCGCGGCCCCGCTTCTGCCCCGTGAAGGAAGAGGAACTGGACGACATACTTTGTCTTTCTATAGCAGAGCAGCTAACTCGCGCAGGATTTTTTTTTTGTAAATTGATACGACCGCACCAAAGCCGCGCGATGTTTCTACAACTATTAAAAAACGTATATGGCAAAAAAACGTAGGGAAAGTCAAGCCTCCTTGCGGTAACTTCCTGTACGGGTTCGCGCTAAAATAAGTGTGACGTGCGTGGGCCGCGTGCGCCTGTTTCTAACGTCTCAAGCAGAGTGGCTTATCTAGGTTGCCACGAGAAACAAACCCTCGTCGAAACAACCCGCTAGCGCCGCCGTATACATGAGCCGAGCGCCGGTCGTTTGCTCTTTTCCTCGTTTGGGCGCACTTACTCTCTTGCAGATGAAAAATGTATGGTAACACATACGAGAGACAGACCACATCTCTCGCGTATACCCGTATTGCCTCTTCTCAACACTTATAGCACTCGTGATTACATGGACGATATAGCGTACCTAATACTCCAGGTAGCCACCGCTCCAGTTTTATTCGAGTTGTTAAATACCCACAATATGTGCTATTAGACATATAACTAGGTAAATACGTCGCAAGTAGTCGCGTCGTAAAAGCTTCGTTTTTAGTACCTGTTTTTGCTCTGTGCTGTCGGACACATCTCAGAGTGGATATCAATCATGCCTATCAACAAAATTTTGGTCGTTCTACTCAACTGCTTCGATATGTGCTATAAGACATGAAGCTAAATACATATAGCGAAGGTGTCTACGTGCTACGGACTTGTTCAAATGGCAAGCCGTTCTCTTGCATGCTTATCATGGTGAAACGATTACTTTCTCTTTTTTTCTAAATCATTTTATCTCGTCGCGAGGCCATTTGATAAATGTGTCTACGATATACGCAAGACAGTCAGTAATTTGCGGCGTCTCAGCGTCTTGCTCGTTTGTACTTCTCTCCATCTTGCCGTCGCAAAACTACACCGGCAGAGCCGTGAAGTTTACGACCTAAATCGTCCTCGTGCATCCTAGTAGAACATCAGATGTTGCTGTCGTGGTTATCGTCGCCCGGCGTAGTATTCGCGCGCGCTGGTTTCGGCTCAAAGGGTTCATCATCGCCGTCCGCGGAACGCGCTCCCAGTTCGTCGACCATGTCCGGAGCCGGTAAAGTGTTATCGTGTTGCACCGGAACATTTGCAGGAAAAGGCGAATCACCGGCTGCGCCGGCGTTCTCGCCCGCAATACCCTCCCCTTGCGGAGAGGGATTGAGAACGGGGGGCACCGACGTAGACGAACAAGCAGTGGGATCGCTTAGTCCCACGTCATCCACACCGAAAATACCGCGCACCACGCCGAGCGACAGAACGTCGTCAGCGTCATCGTCCGAATCGCTGAAAGGTTGATCAAGCGCCATGTTACCCGCGCCATTGACTTCAGACCCTTCCCCGGAGAAAAGCGAGCCGGTATTACCCGCACCGAGAGATTGCAACCCCGGTTCATCTGGGACGTTATCCGCTCCACCCGATCCATCCACGGGATTCTCCCCGGCCGCTGCGCGGCGCTGGCGTTTCGGAGCAGGCGTCATATCGTCAGGTTAGCGAGTCACGTGAAGTCGAGGCTTCATTGTTTGGGTGAATGTTACCTTTACATCCGCCGCCTACATTGTTTACAGATTACTTAAGTTGGCTTAGGTAGCTACGCACATGCACAATCAACAAACTCAATAGAGCACAATAATCTACGCCGTAAGCAAAAAAGTCTTCCAACGTCATGCAAGCGAAACGCGCAAGCGTTGTTTAGAGGAATACAATATTACCCAAACCCGTTGCACGTGAGATGACCAGATTGGAATTGGTGAACATCTCACTCGCGCAGGATTGGGCTGCATTCATAATCGTCGTTGGCCGCGGACTGCGTTCGAGAAGCTCCAGTTTTTTGGCGCGCCAAGCGCACTTAAAAAGGGTCGATCCGTCTTTCACACTTTATTTGCTGAGGTCTAATTCGATTAAGAAAAAGAAAACAAATGTGAAAGATAGTCGTAGTGGTCACATAATATCGAGCTTCTTTGATAAGCGCTTTGACGCGGTCAAGATCTTTGCGCGAGGCAATCCCGCGGCGAAATTTCAGGAGTAGCTTATTCAGTTGCCTTTGGACGCGCTCCATCGCTCCATTGCATTCCTTGACTTCTTTCGTAAAATTGCCTTTACCAAACTTCCCCATCTTTTATGGATCAATCTAATAATTGCGCAGGTATACCTTTCTGAAGTGTTTGAATTATCCTAATTACGACGTAAGTACAAACCGCGCGCGCGTTCCGTACAAACGCTTTAATAACCCGCTTGGTGTTTACAGATAGAATTCTCGGCACAATCGAAATATTGTCCGAGGCGTGTTCACCTGGCACCTACAAATGGAGTACGATCTTTTTTTCGCCTACCGTACAGGGAATCACAAAAAGGAGTGGACAAGAATTAGTCTGTCTTCCACGAGTCTCTGTGTTTCGGATAGCAATAATTGCATTTGAAAACCGCCTAACGCTCGGTCATAGTGATTCTCTGATTCACCGCTTCCAGTTTTTCTCGCGTCATCTTGCCGTCAACCAACACTCAACAAACAGACTTTACACACAGAAAATTACCATACATACGTCATACGCGGCGCCAATTTTAAAAGTTTGTAGACGAGAGTCTGCGCGCGGCTCTGCGTCGAGACACTGAGAACTCCAAAGCCGCTTGGTAAACCTTTAACCACTCAACGTTCAATACACAGATCGCGGACTTATAGCTATCACACTCGGTCGTAATACCTAACGTCTCGCTTTCGAGAACACTCAGTCGAAATTACAAGAACGTATCCAACCTTTGAGAGATACTAACTTGCACATCACAATATCGGACCTGTCAGATGTCTCACACGCTCGCACTCGTACAGAGATCCTTCGTCTACCTCACATATCTCACACCCACAACAAATATTGCTTGACCGCCTTGCGCGTAACCATCCATTTCGCGACCTTTCTTCTACCACACTCATCCAACATTCACGAAAGCTCCCCCATAACCAACTGGCGCGTCAGTTAGTCGAGAAACCTATCGTCGCGATAATGTTCCTCTCCTGCGACCATACAAATTTCCTGACGTTAACACCTTTCGCTTCTTATTGCTCCGCAAAGAGACCGCGTTCCTCGTGAACCACGAACAAAAGTCTCTGATTTAACGACACCGAGAGCGACCGACTGACGCGCTAGACTGGTACTCATTCCAGCGGCGATACATTTGCTCAGAATACGTCAAACATTTATATTCGTGCCCCATTTACGGCAAAAATGTAAAAGAGATGCTCGTATATCACTTACCGTATTACAAGTCCAGCTTTAGTCCACCTTCGTAACTATGTCGGTAGGCGGTTAAGGGTCTGTACTCTCGTATAAAGTCAGTTTCTGTTTCTTTTATTTCGCGTTTTTTCACGCGCGATATAAGAGCCCAGTCTCTTGATAAGCACCTTTACGCGGTCGAGATCTTTGCGCGAGATAATTCCGCGGCGAAATTTCGAAAATAGCTTGTGGAGTTGCTCTTGAACGCGCTCCATACTTTTATGGCACTCCTTAACCTGTTTCGTAGCCTTGCCTTTACCGAGTTTGCCCATTTTTTATGGATTAGTCAAATAATAGAGCAGGTATGCTCCCCTGGAAAAGGTTCAAATTATTCAAATTAAGGTCTAGGGAAAAACTGCGCGTGCGTTGCGTACAAATGCTTTAATGATCCGCTTGGTGTTTACAGATCAATTTGATGTTACAAGCGAAATATTTTGCGAGCCGCGTTTATCAAATTGTGGGAGAAAAGTTCTCTTTTGTCTACTCCTTGAAGCACCAAAAAAAGAACAATCGCAAAGTCGTTCGTCTTTTACGCACGTCACTGTTTTTCGGATGACGATCATACTGTTATGTAACGTTGCCGCTCGCTCATCGTGATTCTCTAATCAACCGTTTCCAGTTTTTCTCGCGCAATCCCATCGACTACGGACACTCAATGAACAGACCGCGCAATTACCGAACACTTATTTCTACATAAAGCGCTACGCTAACTCTCCAAAATTGTTACCTAGCCAACGCTCAATACACAGTCTGGAGCAATATAGTGTACATATTCTCACGCATTACATCGCGCCTTGCTCTAGCGAACACTCATTCAAACCTGTCCGACAGAACGTGTCCGACCTTTCCCCATACTAACCGCTCATCAGAACGTCGGTCGTGTCGGATGTCTCACACGCTCGCACTCGTTTTGGGATTTTTTCAGTGCCAACCATGCTCAAACTACATCAAACCTTTATTTTCGCGTTGGATTTAGCGCAATATTGCAAAGTGCATGCTCATATATCATCTAAAGTATCACGGGTCATGTTTTACTCCTGCTTCGATAACTATTTCCATAAACGGCTGGTGATCCTCACTATGGTATAACATCGGTTTCGGTCGATTATACCTTGCACTACAGTTACTGAAATTTCTTGTGTAAATTGTCAAAAGCTGCTATTTCTTGTGTAAATCGTCGATTTTCATTTACTACAGTCACACGGCTATGACAAAACCAATAAATCAAACTAAAAAGACAAATTTTGCATACTCTTCCTCTTTCAATGGTCACGCTGACTATGGCGCGCAAACCTGCGTAGGACTAAGAGCGGCGCCTTTTTTTTTTTCTTCCGGTGTAATTTGTGAATTTTCGCCGTCTGGGTATGCAGAGCATTATATGAACGACTCCATTTCGAATTTGTAGTAGTTAAACGTTCGTACTTGGCTACACGGAAACGTCAGCCAACCAACCCGCGAATCGCAGCAGCTGCGCGAACCAATTCCCCACATTTTATCGCCCGACGCCTTTTACCACCACCGTCGGCGTAGAATCCCGAGCTTTTCCATGAGGAGAATACTACGCACGTAGGAAAGCGATTCCTCTTCGCCTCGCGGAACGATCGTTATCGCATCAGAAGCTCCTTCCGGCAGACGTAAGGTATTCTGCGGAACCAACGCCGCTTCGCGGGATAATTCCGTCCACACCATTGCCCAGCGGTTTACCGTTTCCAGACTCGCGAACTCTAAGCGACCGCCGTCCACACCCAAATTCCGACCACCAACCGCACAGGTGTACGCGACCCCGCAAATCATCTCCATGGCATTACCGCGCCCGCGCCGACCCGTCACGTTCCACATCTCCTCTGCGAAGCGCTCTACCGGCGGCACAGCGGAGAGAAGAGCTGACCAGTCCTGGTTGGACAGGTCGTTCTCGGCCCCGCCGCGGAGCCCATCGAGACGCGCGGAATAGCGCGTGCTCCCACTCCCGAGGTCATGCCTCTCCTCCGCGGGATAAAACCCACGCCCACCACACGTCACCCATATAGGTAATGGACCACTACGAAGAGCGGATAATATCTCCGCGCTGAGGCGATATGTGTTGATGACCGTATCTCCATGACTTTGCATTACCTGAGCGTATAATTCGTCCACTTCATCTCGTTCTCTTTCAGCGTCTGATGACTCTGTGATAATTCGATCAATAGCCGCTCTATACGCTCGACGGAGGGTACATCCACAAATCTCGTTTGGGCGTATCCGGAGAATTTGCAAGATTCGTTGATCTTGCGGAGACCATGCGAAATCATCGAGAAAAAAAATGCTCATCCTTCGCGTGCTAACGACTGAAATCTTAACACAACAAAGCAAGACGAATGAAAATCAGGGAAAAAATTCAGCAACGATTTCAAAAACACCCGTAGTAACTTCTATTCGCAGAATATTGAACACTAACAATTGAGCTACGATTTGATGACCGAAAAATTTTTCACAAAACAAGAGGAGCGACTAATTGGAATAATAGAACATAACGTAGTTTTACGAGAGGTAAAATGGTAAAACCTACTTCGCTGCGTCGTAAGATATCCGCTATGCTTGGGGTAGCCGTCTTTCCTCATTAGTTTCATCAGCAACTCAATTCAGTGCCCGGTATAGTGAACGCTCTCGCACGTTTACGATAGTTAGCGCTCGTAAACAAACAGACAAACAAAACATTACAGACCGCCATGAAAATCTCTGGAAAGAGGTAATCTCAACGACCAAACGACTCGCGCGTCGTTCGCAACTCAGGCTTGCACCACACGACCTAAAAGTAATTTTGGGACCTTCTAGAAACAGAGACCAGGAATGCCGCTCGTCACGTGTTACCTCACTCACGACCACAGAACCGTCTTTCTTTCACTCAACGTGTCCTACAAAAGCAAAGTAAACGCTTGGATCGTGCCAGACGCTCAACCGTAATGGACAGATATTAGTGGCTCGCTCGTTGACTCAGATCTACAATAAAGCAAACGCTCCTACCTTGACTCTTGAATTACACGCCTAAGTTTGCAAACCGAATGGTAGCGTGACAATAAACAGACAGTTGTTACAAGCCTCGGCGACATTTGATATCCCGCCATTTAGCGCTCCCATTTCGCTTCGTTGCCGTTCCTTAATTAAGCGACCAGAAACTCGAACCGCTTATGATCTCAAGCAGCGACTGCGGACACAGATTTTCTCCAATTTTGACTAAATACATTGGGTGGCGCTTCAAGTCTCGCACTAGGGGAGGGTAAGGTCTACAGAGCTTTGGACATTTCGTACTATATACTGGTCCGTCTATGTCACTAAAGTTCGCCGTGATATGGATGTCGTAGCTCAATGATTCGCAAACTGTGTTGATGAAGGAGATAAGCGTAGACTAAAATATCGTTTTCCGTAATAATATCTTGTAAATACTGATCATAGACGATCGTCGCACCATTAGAGGGTATAGGTGCCGCTACTTCCCCCACTGCTCTAGAGACGTTGACATACAACCTTTCTCGCGTACTCTAACAACTTACTACGCCCGACGTTTGACGTTTCCCATGGGTAGATCGGGTTTTGCGCGCTCATACCTCGCGGACACGTTCTTCCGTGTTATTACTCGTTCCAAACGTTGCCTCTACTTCCGCGACCAGCTGCGGTCCCGCGCGCTCGGGTCACTCAGGCTCGATGCGGACCGCCGCGACGTTGAAAGAGTTTTGCGTTGACCAACGGGAGACGGACTGCGAGGACGTTTACCACCAGGTAATACTGACTCTTTTTCGTTAACCTCGGTAGATGCTCTTGTACTGTCGCTGGAACCGTTCTCACTCGTTTTTCCCTTAGCCGCGTGCCAATCGACGACGACCCTTAGCAGACACGAAGGAAGCAGGTCCTGTTTCAAGGCGGCCACGCCACGTACTAGTTTCGTAAACTCGCATCCACTATGTTCAATCTCTCCTGCAAGACGCGCGGGGTAATCTCTCTCCATCATACCCTTCTGAAATTCTTGACACGCGTAATTCCACCACTTCTGGCGCTGCTTTAGGTTTGGAATTCCGTGCGTAGTGTATCCGTGTACAAGATCGTATAACTGCAGAGACGTGCGTGCTCCCGGTTAGAGTTTGAAACGGGGTCTAACATTCTACCTATTGTGTAATACCAGAAGCCCTACACTTAACAACGAAGCCCCTTCACCCCTAACGCGCGCTAATGTCTAAACAAGCCTATTTTCAGGGCGTTCGCCCTTCCATCTCCGAATTAAATACTTTGCACCATAATCGTGGTTTGCCCGGGCCACCAACGACGGGCCAGGAAACTCCAAAGGTTGAACGAGCAGGCCATGCGCTCGGTGCAATAACTTACCTACGTAATAGCACCTGAAGTGGTCTGGCGACCCAATGACCATACCCGAAGGTCTTGCCGCACCCAAGTTCATCTCTCGTACAACCGACTGCAACGAATTACCCGCGCGCAATTTTATGAGCGCTTCTCCCAGCGTCGTTCTACCAAAAGCGCTATGCGCGAACGCATGCAGATCGGAGATGTCGTCTTTCCACCGCGCGTTGCAACTATTACCGCGCGTTGTTATACTCGTTGAATCTAATTGGTCGCATATCTCGTCAAGTTGAAGTGACCTCACTGGGGCTCTCCACAATTCCGGCAAACGCGTCACTGTGCTGCGGTTAAAGCGGTGAATATTAGAGAAAATGAAGCGCGCTTTCGTCGTCTAACCTTTAAATTTCCGCGCGGTAAAATTCGCCATAAGAATATACACCAGTACGTAGAACCACCACATTGCGATGCAACACGGGCGATTTTCTTCACCGGCGTCTGCCACTTGGCGCATAGCGCGCTGGAGTTGTACTATCGCATAGGATTAGAATGCGATGCGACTATCGACCCAAGACAAATACACCAGCGCGAACTCAGTCTCTTGGCACTTTCACGGCGGTGACATCGGGCCGATACTCGCTCACTCTTAAAGCTTCGTGGTATTATCTTCAAACCACGGGTCGTAGATCGTCTTCGATGAAGGACATTCGTACATAAGCTTGAGCATCTCGTGCATGCGCCGGTGATCGCTGCCAACGCTCTTTTCTTTAGCCTGACACTCAAACGCCGCCGGCATGCTGCCATACACATCGCGGAACGCCGTTAGCTCGCGTCGGGTTTCGCAAAAAATCAACCACCAGTAAATTGCCGAATCTTGTACCAGAGGGAATAAATATTCCGCATGGTGCATATAATGTAATTCACAGAAGGCTACTTCTCCTTTTACGGAATTTACCGGCTCTTCTTTGAGCTGAACCTCGGGAAACCTCCGTGCGCCGAGTGGCACGCAGGCGGCGCAATTCAGCGCACTACACTTCATAGCTATACTTCGACCGGTTAGGCTTGCTTCTCCAACAAGGCGTGGCCGCTGTTACTGCTATTACCCACCGCAAGATCGAAACTTAATAGAGGAGCAGCGACTCCGTGCTTAATTACCCTTGTCACAACGATAAAGCCAACAGTTAAAGCTGGCCTCCAACATACGACCGGATAGCGCGTCTATATTCTCCTTGGATCGACAACGCTCAAGTCAACAAATGGAGCCACTCTTTAATACCCGCGCAGGTAGTATTTCTTATAAACTCCTACGGAGTATCTAAAAAGCTCTCGCTTCGAAACTGCTTGTCGACTTTGTGAATATCGTGCGTGCTCCTACTCACTACGCGAGTCTGCTAGCAAGCTCTCAATCTCGTGCTGTATGGACGTTCGGCGACGGCGGATGATACATCGCGCGATGGACTGATGTAGAACTCCTCCGCGCGTTCATAGTCCACTACGCGGTGCAGAAACTTGGCTCACCAATTAGTCGGATAACCTTTGCTCGTGCCTACATCGCCGGTAGTAACATATTCACTCCGGAGCGATGTAGTTTTAGCCGCACATATTCCCGCTTGATCTATAGGGCTATCGAATGCAAATTGGCACATCATCACTCTGCGTGCATCCGGGTGTGCTCCATTTCCGCCGAGTGAGCGTGCTCTTGATTAAATCTCGTTCCAGCAGTCGTCGAGTTACCTGTCATTCAATATTATACTTGATACTCGCGCGCAAACTCAGAGATACCAGAGCGGGTAATATTTATCCCCCAATGATTCTTAGTCAATTCACTTGCGCTACGACAAACGATGTGTCCGACACTACAATACTAGACTTAATGACAAGCGTTGTATCTTCCATAGTTCGAGCAGGTATAACCTATTGTCTAATCGCGCATACCGACTTGAGCACGAGAGAAGAGATCCCCCTACCTACATAAGTAACACTAAAGCTATCACGCACGCAATGGGAAATAGTACTATGCCTTCTACGTCGACTATGCGAACACAGTCAAAGTTTTCTCCAACAGCCAAGCTTATACATGGACAGCGTCGGTAAAGTAAGATGCGCCGCTGGGTGCTTTCATGGGAATTTATCGCCCCCCAGTATCAGTCGGCTCAGCACTAAGTGTGGATTGTCGAATTATAAATACTCGCTCGGTCCGTGAGTAATTTTCTCGTAAGTACTCATGAAATGTTACGTCTGGCTCATTACCCTAAATTCCGCCAACAAGAGTACCCTTCATATGTTCCGCGGAGCGCATCCCGTATCTACAGCCCGCACCGTTGCGCTTCGGCGGAGCAAGGCCAAATCAAGGCCAGCGTCGAAAATCGTAATATCGCGATGTAAAGCCTCATATTGGTACGTTTATACTAGCTGCCAACGTTGGCGATAATTGCTGATTTCCCTGTATTAGCTCATGAAAAATACCAGCTCTTCATAGCGTGGATCCACTTCGATAAATTCGCTGATCAGTATGTTGAGCGTCGGAAAGGACTGACCTACGAAAGACGGCTCATGCCAATTCAATATATTCGCTGATCAAAATGTTGAGCGTCGGAACGGGAGATCACCTACGAGAGCCGCTAAAACCCAACTCGAAAAATTCGCTGATCACAATGTTGAGCGTCGGAACGGCAGATCACCTACGAGAGAATCTAGAACCCAATTCGATATATTCGCTGATCCAAATGCTGAGTGCCGGAACGGAAGATCACCTACGACAGACTCTGAATCCAATTGATCAAGGAAGCGGGATATATTCGCGGATCAAGGTGAAGTCACAGAGCCCGTCCAGCATGAAACTGTTAAGCTAGCCAATTGCTGACACTTCAGTTTCATTCTCCTTGTACGTTTCCGACTTTGATTAGGGCAGCGCTTTCAGACCTAGAGCATGTACATCATCGACGGATCCATTAACCAGCGAACGGTTTTATTCATCGTCGCCCGATAGCTCAGCACAAAGTTTGTAGCCACCGATAGACGGTAGAAATCGCGCGCTCTCGTGAAATAAGGTTTCAATTCAAGAATATTGCCCGCAATATTGATCTCCCGCGTGTAGCTACCTCAAACGATCTATTCATGAACAAATTTAGCGGCTGCATGTATGTTCCTCGTCAGCATGAGCGCATCTAGAGCATGTGGCTCCTCGAACGATCTATTGCTAAACGTGAGATGTTTTATTCATTGTCAACCAGTAACTTGGAACGAAGATCGCGCCGTAGAGTCGTAATCTCGATCCATTCCTTCGTCGACGGCTTTGGTGCACTGTTGAAACTACTTTCTCGCTGTCTCGTGCTGCTGCACTCGAAGAGATCGTATCATTTCTACGACAAGCGACTGACCGCGTATGACCAAACTGAGATGCATCATCAGACCACGATGGCTATCAAAGCAACTAGTATGATACTCACTACTAAGTGTGACTAATATTTCGATGCGTATAGTTCTCACTCCTTATCCGATACTTCAACACCACCCACCACTTTTTACATTTATCGCCGAAGCGCTATCATTACACATACTTAATCCACAATATTGTGATGTCCGGAAAATACCACGCACAACCGCGCACTTCCTACATTCGCACTACTTCGCCATATAATATTGTTGGTTAAACTTTCCGAATGTCGCCGCCTACGTCTTAACATTTCTAGAAATAATACACAACGCACTATGCTCTTTCCTAGATATCAACTCAATGCCGCAGAGTGCCACTCATTACGTGTACGCACAACCAACAGCTAAACTGCATGAGACGTGTCGTAAATCTAGTGCGCCCCGCGTTTCTAAATTCTCATAAGGTCTTGTAGATATCAGTAGATGCCTATATCCTCAGGACCACTCTACCTGACGCACTCACGCCAAAACACAACGAAATTTGCTGAGTGTTAAGCCTACTATGAAAAAGCTCACCTATTCACTCATCAGGTAAACATATGTCGCATTTAGGTTTTCTTAAAGTGCATTGCTTCCTCTTAGGAATGGATTTCGAAGACGCATGAAGGCACCGGGGCCAGGCGGTTTCTTGCCGTTGTGCCAACTCCATTTCTCCGCTCTGTACTCGTTCACTACCTCAGTCGGTATCTCTGCGGCGGCAAGTTTCTCTTTCACGTGCTTCCGAAATTTCTCCAGTCCCGTCATTCCCAAGACCGCAGCACACATTCGACGCGCTAGGCCATCGTGTTGCGATGAGCGCATGCATCCAGCTACTACGTAGCCTGGAATAGTCTGCGCAGCTTGCCGCATTTCCGAATTTTGTTTGTCCTTATTTTCTCCAGCATCACGTTGTTCCCACGACAAAAGTCGAAACCCGTTCGGCTGATATGAGGTAGGGTGACAAGCCATAAGTCAACATCTACACTGAAAGGCAATCTTACGCTGACAGTCAAATTATTGTACACAATTACCGCGTTTTCAAATTTTCACGTATACGCAGTCAGAATGTCCCTCACCTGCATTTTGACGTTTTTGCGCGCCCACAGGTGAATCTTCGGCCAGCAAAGTATCAACAGGTATGTCTCGAATAATTGAAAGCGTTTCTCGTCCGTTAAGAGATCCGACCAAAAATTCGCTTCGCGTTCTTGATTCTTCAGCTGCGATAAGCGCCAATTTTCCTGAATGTACCATTGGGATCAGTCAACATATTACATTGCAAATTAGGAGAGACAGGCCCCTCATGTATCCGTTTATCTAATTCATATGCAAGACCCACACCAAATAGCACATGAATACCGAAGGAGGCCAATATGCCCAATCTGTCAAATTCGCCCATTCCTGTTGCGCCGCACCCATGATAGCTGCCATCATACGATCGCGCACAACGTACGGATCGTCGACAGGGCAAGATATCTCAGTCTGCGTTCGTTCCTCTTCAATATTTTGCTTCGCAACTTCTCGCTTCATCACAAGAGCTGCCTCACCGGTTCCATATCCACGCGTCGTTGACCCAACGGATCCAGTGCCGGTCGCCGAATTCTTGCCCCGTTCTCCAACTGAACCAAAACCAAAGTAGTCACCTGATGCGTTTCCGTTATCTCGGTGATACGGCGGAGCTGCGTTCGGTCCCCTAAATATATCCGGTCTAGTGGCCGCCGCAGCGCGGTCACCTGATTGCAAACGTTGGTAATGCTGCGCCGCAAACCCACTCAATGGCTTCTCGTGTTCAGCGTTACGATTTCCGTAATCTCGAAAGCGTGTGTCTTCCTGCCTTCCACCACCTTTATTGCTGGAGGATTTGTCGAAATTTCGCCCGGTTGTATCTTGATACTTTTCCCGGCTAGGAATCTGACCAAATGTACCACTTTTGTCGTGCGGCCCAAACTGGTAAAGTTGCTTCTCTGCAATGCATCCATCGCGATTACGAGCCGAGTCTACGTATCGCGAGTTGCGGTCTTCGATTGCCAACACTTTGGGGGCAGGTGAACGGCTATCGCGTCGCCGGCTTTTTGGCCGCGTTGGCGGGGAACTCAGTGCATCCATTTCGTGCATGGCAGACCGTCCAAACGGGGACCGAGGCGGAACCTACGATACAGTGTCGTTGGTCATTGTTACACGCGGAGTATCACGTGGAGCCACATTTCGTTTCTTTTTTGTACAACTGTGAACTAGACATGCATCCACAAATAAACATCTAATGGTGCTATTTATACCCGCGTAGTGTTCCGCGGTGACATATCACATTGTCCGCGATAGCGCTCACGACTCTCCCTTCGGCGCTTTCCATTTTTCGCTGATTCCTGGATTCCATCAATGATAAAAAATTACACACCAAGCACGCCCTTACGTTGTATTCCATCACTACACCTCTTCTCTACATCACTGCTCCTACATAAGTTCGGCTCTAGTCCTGTCTTTATCTACATCATTGCTCCTGCATACGCTCGTCTACAATCCCGCTGCGAAAATAAAACCACGAAACACATGTGTAGCTATTTACGTTAAGTACTTTCCTTACCTCGTTCTCTCCGAAAAAGCGCAGAGCTCGATGATACTCCTCCTCACCGAACAAGCTTTCTTCATCTTTCTGCGTTCTCCCACCCTGAATTTTGATTTTAGGTCCGTTGTGTCGATTAACTTATCCACTAAATTGTTACTTTTGTAATTTAGTTGATCATTCCAACACCCTCTAGTTTGTCGCTGCCGTAAACGATATTCCGTATCCAATACCTGAGCCGAATCTGAATCAAATCCCGACATGCGTTCTCTCTTCCGTTCATTGCATACCGACAGACCTGCACAAACTTTTTGCTTCTCCCGTTCTAGCTCCTCTTGTTTCTGTCGGGCGCGCTCGAGATCGCACTCCACCTGCAACTGTCGACGACGCAGTACTTCCTCGTGATTGGCTATATCTTCATCTGTGTTCCGGCGATCTCTTTCCTGCGAAAACGACCCGCGGCGCCCGCGATCCTTGTATGATGGCATTTTTTTGCGCGTTCTCGATATAGGCACTGACGCTGTCCGAAAGTGTCGTGAATTGAATCGCTACACTAGTTATCTGCGCTGTTTTCACTTATAAGTCAAATATCTCCAGATTGCCTGCCTGCATAAGTTACCGAAACCGGGCATGTCCTCCGGACGAGCACCTCTGATCCGATCTAACACTACCACCACCGTACTTTCAATGTCCACTTTCATAGATTTCGCCATAACTCATTCACATTACTATTCCCCGACATTGTGGATCTAACAAATTATCTGACAATTCCGGCAAAGTCTACCGTTGCGGATGTCGACACTTCACGTTGATCGCACATTAATGCACACGAAATAGCAATTAGTTAATTCGATAACGCGGACTAAACTGTATCACCGTCTGTGTTCGAGAATCGACTAACTCGTCCAACATATTGCGTTTTTCCAACCAATTGCACATTCAGAAGTTTCTCTCGTGGCACTAATGTCTCCCGTAGTGCCCACGAATGGACTATGTCGCGATAGATGCTCCACTATTTTCCCCACGCGCGCTAATATTCACCGCCTTCCTTCTGTTGGTCTAGAACATCCATAGCCACGCGGCCATAGCGTCCGTCTGCTGCGGCGCATCCGTACGCGAGACGTTAAAGCGTTCACAAAGCCCGTTAATAGCCGCCGTGTCCCAATTACGCCCAAACTCTACAACACAGGCGCGATCCTCGACTTCCCGAGCATAATACCTGCTCCTCTCACATACCTGTTCCGCGCTCCCGAATAGGTACCAATGAAACGGCGTCCCCTGAAAGAGGTACAGCGGAGGCGGTGGAGTGTGCAAAGGGCTTTCCCTCGTAGTGCTATCCCCGCGTCGTCCCAGCGCTCCGTCGTCGATATAATGTTAGAGCTGCTAATGTGCTCTTCCATGCCCGTCTCGTGTACTATTCTATACTTCACCACGACGCATACTTACTTCGGACCTACACGACCATTACTCGGACATCGCCTATACACATCTGTATCATAACAACCCACTCGTTCAAGAGCCGCCCACAAATTTTCGACTGTTGCGCCTACGTGCAAATGCGCGATAAACGTTCGCGACCGCGCGCCGTCTAATCGACATCGTTGATAGCGACTCCACGCTAAGCCCTGCGCTTCCGTCAAGATACGCTGCGCGCTGCGTGGATCAAGTTAGAGATCATAGATCAAACATCATAGATTCCCTACCGTGGTGATTAATGTTTCCATAAGACATCGCTAGCGCCAGCTGCTGCGCAACCGTGTCCACTAAACGCGTCCGACCCCCGCAAGCTGTATGTTCCGCTAATGCGTATAGATTACCGTACGTTGCAGCGCCTTCGCTGGGTGTCCCAAATCCGAAAATCCGCTGGTGCCACGTGTCAAAGGACTTTTCGAAAGGCTTGTCGTGATGAATTGCCGCTTTTCCAGGCGGGACTTGTGACGACGTCTCGATAGCCGGATCTTTGCTTGTGCTTTTCATCGTTCCGCTTTCATCTCTTTCCTTCTCTTTCCAGGAATATTCGGCCTCCACCGCTTCTTGAAGGACGACACACGCCAGCAATGAATCATTAGAAATACATCAGACAACGAAAATGAATATCTTCTACCAATCCCTTACTTTTAACAAGATATCTTATACGCACGATTTACGCGTATTACTCAGCAAACTTTTCTTAACGCGGAAGTTCCCCGCCCCGAAACGAAGCTCCTTTTTCCGTATTTGGTCCTCGATACTCATGCTCAACGTTTCATACAGGTGTGAGAGATGCGCCTGGATCTCTTCTTCTTCGTACAGACATGCTAATACCGCAGCAACTAACGCGTGCACGCGTCTTGGGAAATGTCCGTGCAGTGCAGCGTGGTACACCTTCCGCAATTCGCTTCCGCGAAGTAATGTGCGCAAAGAAAGAGCGGACATTTTTTCCAATCACTGTAACACACCCTTTCGAGAATACTACGCTCACCACTATACTACTGATATTCAGAGTTAATGCAACGACCTCCGGGATAAAGAATAATTACTCAGCAATCAGTCTGCGTATCGCCCTGATTTTCAAATTCCCTAAGCACTACACTCTTCTGCTCTTTACGCTGCGTTCATATCTCATTGGTTGAAATTTCTCGTTCACCTACATACTGTCTTCACTATATCTGTTCAATAAGTGGATATTCATTCGTCGAACTATTGGACTATCTTCCCGAGATCTATCCATCGCGTGAAAGACTATTCTTCAATCTCCCATGTTCAGATCCTTCTTTCTCCCAAATGATCCAGCTGATCCACCTACACTGTCGCTTGCATTCCTTCGCTAAGGATCATTTACAAGATCTTATTTTCATTCCCGCGGAACTATGTTTTATCGCGAGTTTGTTAACCACTTGGACCCGAGCGCATACCAAAGACATACGGTGCCGAGGCGGTCCAGAGGGATTACCCTCCTTACTTTGGTAGACCCTGTGGCAGTAGCCGCATTGCTGCGTAGCCTCCTCGCTAATGGCTTCAAACCGCACACCTTCAACTGCACATGAGATTTTCACATGTCACCCCTCATCCAAAAAAGAGAACTAAACAATGGGTTACGGGGGTCGTTAAGTATGATCTGACTACGACGCTTCGTTCTCAAGAGGCACCCGGTTTCTTCATACAAATTTCACTAAAATAGGTAGCCTGTATTCCCTGAATAACGAAATTGGCGCCCTCATACTGAGTCTTTTTATTCTTGGGAATCCGGGCATTCACTGATAATGATACTTCCTGATCTTGATTCACTCTCATACAAAGACCAAAATTCTACCCCTCATCCTTAGTCGGCTTGTTCTCCAAGGAGCGAATAGGATACTTTCTTCTATCCTCGTTGATATTGTTCCCCACAGCTTTCTACATACGGTAATCCTCTCCGCCGTCCTTGGTATTCTTCTACACTAAAGAGCGGGAATTTTATCAATGATGTACTTCCCTCTATTCTCATTCGTGCTGGTCCCCTCCAGCGAAAGAGTATTTCTAGTGTACCGTACTCGCATCTATCGTCTTTATATCGCACTTCCAAGACACAATCTGATACTATCCCCGATCCTCGTTTACATTCTCCTCATCCAGGGAGCAGGTATCTCCCCCATCACCTCGGATAATGACCCACCTAGAAGAGCGGATATTCCCAAAATAGGAGGAATAGAAGAGTTCTATCGCCTCGATTATTGACCCACCTAGAAGAGCGGGTATTCCCAGAATAGGAGAATTCTATCGCCTCGGATATTGACCCACTTAGAAGAGCGGGTATTCCCAGAGTGTGAAAATTCCATCACGTCGGATATTGCCCCACCCAGAAGAGCGGGTATTTCCTGAGTGGGAGAAATCCGCCCCTCATACTTTGTGCCTGCTTCTCTCCGCGGATAAAAAGGGAAACAACGTAGGAGGGGCGGAATTCTCCCAATTCGGAATTACATCGGGTCGCCCTCTTCTTCAGCCTGTGGCTTTCCTCGCGCTGGGGTTGTTCGGGAAAACGCGGGATTCTCTCTCGATGAAGAAGCCGAGGGTGGTGATACCCACTCGCCGTGTGTCTGAGTAGCGGTGGACAGTTGGGTTGCGGTACGTATGTCCTCGTCGGTGAGACATGCGCTAAACGTATCGCAGACGCTGTCGAGCATAGCATGGAATGCCTTGCGGTGAGTTGGTTTCTTCAGTTTAGAATATACGTCATTCAAACGCGGAAAGTGGGGGCCTGACGTGGTGGAGAGGAGTCGCGGGATGATCCTTCGCGTATCGGCTGCGGTATCGTCATTGATTTGGCGTTCTTCTCGGAGTTGCCAATTTGTAACGGCTTGATGTAAAAAATCGCACGCGGTGGGACGTTCCGCACTTCCGTTTGCCATGGCTGTCATGTCAGTTACCGGAATTTTCTTTTTCCAGTCCAACGTGTGTTTCCAGATATGAAACTGGAGCGCCTTGTCCAATTGTTCGTAGAGTAGCGCGATATTGGAAATTCGAGCCATATGGAGAAGGAATGCGGTGTGACTATCGCGAACGGCGAAAGTGTCCGTCTCCGGTTCAAATGTGAGCGAATGTTGTAGGAGTGCCGTGCGGGTTCGGTGGAGCTGATTGAGCACGTAGGACTCGGGCGGAGCGTAGGTATGCTGGTACAGGCTGTGGTTTGGATAAGACCAAGCCCAGAACTTGTCGGATCGAGCGGCGAGAAATTCTTTTTCGGAGCAGGCGTAATCCAGGACATTGTCGACGGGAGCAGATTCCGCCAAGCCGTGTTCATGCCCATACTGGCGGAGCCAGAAGAGGACGGTCTCCTTTGTATATGTCGGCCGACGCGTGTGAGGCAGCATTTTGTCTGGTGTGTGAATATGGGAAAAGCATGAGTACAATTAACGAGGATTTGTCCGTGGTGTGAAAAGTATGCGTATTGAGTCGGGTAATAAAATAGAAACAAGTGACGATAATTATACCCACGATGTGCGATGCGGTGAGCGGATGCGATTTTCCGAATGGGAACCAAGAGTCCAATTGCGGGAGCGCGATATCCGTCGGGGACCGCGAACCGTGGGTTCTGATATTTCTGGGTGGGTCGAGCGGCGATTGTAGAGCCGGAGATGGGTGCGGAAGAGCAGCAGCAGGTGCAGCATCGTCATCGTCTTCCAGAACGATCGCGCCTTCATCCGGAGCAGGGGGATCATTTGAACTGGAAGCTGCGGGGGGCAACATCTTCGACTTTTTTCTGCGAGGAGAATCTAAGTCAAGAGTGGGTATTCTCAAATAGTGATACGCAAATAATGACGAAAGGAAACTCTACGAAGGATTTACAATTGACGAAAGTTGACGAGTGGGTAAAGACAGAACACTGGTGTTTAGTAGTGAGCGTGAACCTACGAAAATCGAAATGATAGAAACCTAGTGTGAGACTGACGATAGGTATTACCGGCTCTGGTAGGCGATCTGTTCGCGTCAGGGCTGCGAGAGCTACGTTCTTGGCTCGGTTCCGATTTAGGTGACTTGGAGGAGCGCATGTTGCGGGTAGGAGCGTGGTTTAGTGGTAGGTCACAGTTAGTCTGCGAATGGTGAGATCAAGTGCAAGTTTGCGGTATCCCTGTCTAGGAAGCGCGGGTGATTGTGTCTAGCTATGATTAAGAAGTGCACTAAGAGCAGGTATCACGGAATTACGAAACCAAATAGAATGTGGTTATACACTGTCTCTAAGGGAAACCGGAGATGTGATTCAGTGGTAGAGGATCGTGCTAGGGCAGATCCCAGAGAGCGCTTCGGAGTTTGGCATTCACGACCGGCGCGAGGTTAGATCCTGGAACATAGTTATGTGCGCGAGAAAGTGTAGGCGTTGAACGATTACCAAACTTAGTAATGTTCGAGGAACCATCCGGGACAAGGATAAGCTCGTCTAACGTAGTTCGTCAAGACTACTTTTAGTCAAACGGGAAATCGAATCTGAACTTTGAAAGCAACAATTTTGATTTTATTCCAAATTAATTCAAATTCAATTCTGAGGACGATTGGAATTCGGTATGGGGAATAGGCGCTCTGAAATTCGTGTTATTGGGAGTGGCGTGGTTGTAATTCGTCGACGTAGCGTGAAGGAATTTGGAAGACTGCTCGCCAGAACTACCCCCGTCCGCACTGAAAGGTGAAGCGGGTAGTCAAAGGGGAAATCGAGACGGAACTCTGAAAGCAAAAATCTTGATTTTATTCCAAGTAAATTCAAATTCAATTCTGACGACGATTGGAATTCGGTTTGGGGAACAGGCGTTCCCAAATTCGTGTTACTTGGAGTGGTATGGTTATAATTCGTCGACATATTGTGAAGGAGTCTGGAAAAGTCGTCGAACTCCGCATTCGGAGACCGAACCACACAACTCGGGGGATAATAACTCGTAGCTGACGCGACACGTTTAGGGCCGGTAAGTATCGAAGCGTGGATACCCGGCGCAGCGGGTTTTTTATTGATGGCGTGGGTATAGCCTTTATACGCAGTCTAGTTTACTGGAATTAATGGTCGCCACCTTTGGTTTTTCATTGATTCCGTGTCGATGGTTTATAGATGTCGAGTTTGTTGGAGTTCCCCATTTCCATCCTTGAAAGTCAGTTTACGTTGACCCAAATAAGCTAGCTAGGTCATTAGACTCCCCCCTTCCGCCAAGGGAGGAATTTGGAAATATCGTTGAACTCCGTAATTGTAGCAAAAAACAGACGGCTCGTTGGAAAATCCTTATAGTCGATACGACACTATTAGGGATGGATAGGTATCCAAGCGTAGATATCTGCGGCCTCTGATTCTACAGTGATGCGTAGTTATAGCCGCTATACGCGGTCTCGTTTACTGGAGGTAGGGATCGCTACCTCCGATTTTTTATGGCTGCCGTGTCTATGGTCTCTCTACGGCATCCAGCTTACTGGAGTGCCACATTTTCATCCGGGAAAATCTGTTTATTTTAATCCAAACAAGCTAGCTATGTCATCATCCTCCTCCTCAATTCGGGCTTCGTCGAGTTCGGGTTTTTGGTCGCGAGTAGGAGTCGCCAGTGTAGGTTCGAGGTGGCATACTTCAAAAGCAGCGCATATGTTGTCCAGCATTGAAATGAATGCCAATTGTTGACTCTGGTTCTGCATTCGGCTGTGTATCTCCTCTAATCTCCGAAATGTAGGGCGTGACGTGGTGGAAAGAATTCGCGGAATGAGATCCGTCGAGTCCGTTGCTAAATCGCACGAGTGTGTTTGTTCGCGCTCTTTTTGATAAGCAGTTGCGGCGCGATACAAGATATCGCAAACGGTCGGATCTTCTGCACTTCCGTTGAGGAGGTCGTGGATCGGGAGCTTCTGCTTGTGCTTGTGGGTGTACTCTTTCACGTGTGCTGATAGAGCATTGTCCAGATGTTCATATAGACCACCAACGTTGGAGACGCGAACCATTTGGTGAATGAAGGCTGCGGTGGTGGCACCTTCTTCGAGATTGTCTAGTTCCGGGTGAAAATCGTCATAATGTTCGGCGAGTGCCGCGCGTGTTTTCCAGAGACGCGCCTGCACCCAAGAATCACATGGGCAGTAGTACGTGTTGTAGAGTTTGCGGCTGGGGTAGGACCAGGCCCAATACTTGCCCCGTTGCGATGAGTGGAAAACGGTAGGTTCGTCGGCGTAGTCGACTATATTGTCGACGGGAGGAGGACCCGTTAGTCCGCTTGTGGCGTCCTTCCTGTAGTCCGCGATCATTCTGAGGACGTCTTCTTTGGTATAGGTGTCTGACTCATGAGCGCGTCCTTCCGTATCTGTTATGGAATAAATGAGGCTACGGGAGAAGACATGGGCAAAGAGGCGACGCTAATAGATTATCTAACGTGTACCGACAGTAGTTGTCCACAGAGAAAAAGAGATGATAAAGTTACAGGAAACAGAATGAAATATGGAACGTAGAGTAATACACTTCCTGACTATGTCCTCTGCCGTGAAGTCGTGCGATGTTCCAAACGGGTGCCAGGTTCTCAGAGCCGGAAGGGGTGCACTCGTAGGAGAGAGGGGCATGAGAGCCCTGATGCTTCTGGGTTGGCCGTCCTTGCGTTTTTTACTTTTCAGGAGTCCTTCCATGCAGGAAACAGCGGCAGGCGGGTCTTCGAGAGCCTCGTCGTCATCGCTCTCCAGGTCGATAATACTTGGGGACACATTTTCTTTTTGGGCATGTTTTTCCTCTTCGCTGGAGTTTGAGAGTGGTCCTGAAGCTTGATCGGCGTCCAGCAATTGAGACGCGAGACGCAACTGAGCCTCGTGCGCTTGTCCAACTGGAGTTTCGGAGAACGACTTCGTCGAAGCAGGTGGTTGCACATTTTTTAGCAGCGGAAGCGGGCCTGTATATGTTTTGAAGCGAGGATAAGCACCGTCAGCAACGAGAAACTAATATATACATGGAAAGGAATCGGGAAAGGCGAGGTGAATAGACGTAGTATAAAGTAATACCTGCACTGGCAGAACCACTAATGCGTCCCGTACTGGGCGCTGCCTCGCCGGATCTGCGTTTCCGAGATTCCTGAGGACTCGACTTAGAGCTGCTCATTTTGTGTGATGTGGGTTGTATGTTGTCGACGTCTAAAGAATCGATTGAGTGATTACGAGAATCTATAGAGCGTGTATCCCTGACGGAATGTGGTTTAGTAGGTGAATTGCAAAGGTTTACTGCCGGAGCAAGAATGTAATAGAGTAACCAGTGAATCAACTGGCGACGTGTCCGACTCACGATACACGTGCGAGACATTCATGCTGGATCGACTGCGACATCTTCTTACGTCCAGACACGCTTTCGCTTTGGTTACAGACCACCCGGATTCTGATTCAGTGAACATGCGGATACTGCATGTGCCGCGGGTCACGTGACATTTGAAGTAGGGCAGAGAAGCTACATCTGAGAGCGGTGATCTGGCGGCTACGTAGAAAATAGCGATTCGTGGTTCGAGAGAATGATGAAGATCGATCTGCAACTACCGTAGCGAACATAGAATCACAAAGAATTACGAGGAAGCATATGTTGATTTGGAGCAAGTATGAACGCTGAGTCCAGACAGCTGCTCGACTGCCTTCGTTCGTATGAAATACGATTTGGTGTAAAAAAACAAAAGATAATATTGAGGAGATCTATTCAGGTTTATTGGTTTTTATTTGCACACTTGGGTGGAAGGTGAGACGTTTTCAGTATTACATTGTTGGATCAAGCGCTGGCTTTCGGGACATGATTAATCATCTTAGAAAGTCGCTGTGATCTTGTCCACAATTGAGGCAGCCATCGAAGCAGGCACAGATATTTTCAAGCATCGCTATGAAGGACGTCTGCGCTTTCGGTGACGGTAATTGCCAATAAACATGAAGAACGCGCCGAGCATTAAAGGAGAGAGGATAGGGAAGCGGATGCTTAGCGTGAGTATCCTGCTTGATTGAGTTGCAAGTGTTTCCTTCTATGTGACTCGAGAACTTGCCTTTCGGGACGTTCGAATGTGCTCTGTCCGTTGGAAGCGGAGTAGATGCACCCGCGCAGGTATCCGCAGCCTTATTGTCATCTGGTGTGTCGTCGAGAGAGATTATCTCAACGTGATTAAGCACAGTGGAAGCCGTGCGTTTTACACGTTTAGCGGCGGTGTGCGGTGCATCTTCTGTCCCGGAGCGCGTGCTCGATTTTGGTGCGTACGATGTGCTGGCTGATGTAAGAAGCAGCGGCTTTGCGCCGGCCAGGGTGCGACTGGTGGGATGCTGTGGTAAGATGATTGGTGGCGGTGTGTTCTATAGGGAAAATGCGTCGCGCACGATGAGAATGTGTACAATAGTACGCAAACACGTTTATCAAGGGAGTTCACTAAGGCAACAAATAGTGATCACAAATTACTTAAGTTAGCATGCAACTGTGGTGAACCTAGTACCTGCGACGAGTCGGAAAAGGAGTGTTTCGTGGAAGGGAACTCCGTCGAGCTTTTCTGGTCGGATGAGAGCCACATGCGCTTGGCGTTTTTTACTCGCTCTTTCTGTAAAATTTCTGGAACGAGATCGATCGCATTTATCACGGACGGTATACGCAGCGCTGTGGTGAGGGTATAATAGGAAACATTCAGCGAAGAGCAGTGGCTTGAGGATGCTAGAAATAGAGTAGCGGGAGTATTATAGGATATCACTAGTAAGACTACCTGCAAGCGGCGCGTACTGCTTCTCGGAAGTTATTCCGGTGTAAGTGGACGATACGGCTGCACTAGCAATTTCTCGGCAGCGGTTAGCGGAAGCCATTGTTTTGCTACGGAGACTCGCTTATGTCAAATCGAATGTTAGTCAGTGAGTATAACAACAAGGGTAAAAATATAGTCTATATTCTTTGCATTTGAATGGAGAGATGACCATAAAAACGCTCGCGAAGTCTAGGAAACGAGGCCCTGAACAGATTGGATGGTGATGGATCCAGACTAGTGAAACGGGAATACAGTACACTAGTTATATATTAGATCCACTCGCGAGTCCCTCTATTGATAGTGCGCGGTGGTGTAGTGTAGTACGCTCGGGTCGCTGGGTAATTCTTGTGATGAAGTAACTGTTCACAACTTGCAACAGTAGAAATACACGTAAGCAAGCCCACGGCTTGATACATCCATAGAATGTGACACTGATGCGTCGTGTTTAAGACAACGGGGGTGTAGCCATTGTTCATGTGGTCGATGCTAGTCATGTGCAAACAATCCCTAATCCCTTGCGTAGTCTTTACCCGTGGTAGAGTGAGTGAGACACTCAGCCGTGTTATATACGGAAAAGGGAAAGGTTCCAATCGACCTTATCCGCGTGATTGATCATCTTCTTCGCTGGATGATGCAGGCGGTTGTCTATCTTCTTCGCTGGATGATGCAGGCGGTAACGGAGACAGTGTCTCCACGTGTCGGCTATTAGCATCGTTTTCTTCTTCGTCTTCGACGCCGATCGACGAGATAGCCGCGCTATCGGAGCGTATGCGAGTTTCATCTCCTTGTGCGAGCGCGGTAACGGCCGCTCGGAATGCTTTTGCGTGGATCGTCGACTGTGCCGAATTGGCCTGAGGTCCGGCGCGATGGTGAAGATCGCAAGATAATCCTCGGTCGGTATTGGTGGATGGATCGCCTTGTATTTGCGCCAGTACAAGACCTTGGTCTAGCTTCGGTTGATGCAAAGATGATGCCGACGCCGCGACTGTAGTTTGGGCGTTCGAGTATGCAAGCTTGGTGGCAGAGTTCGTGGCCCCTCGCGGTCCGCAGGCGGATATCGTAGTGTGTCGTGCCGGTGGAAGGGGAAGCTTATCGCGTTCGAGGCAGTCCGTGAAACAATCACAAACGCCTGCCAGCATTTTTTGAAATGCCTGCTGAGCGCGGTCCGTAGCCAGTTTGTCGTTTACATCGGCCAACCGTTGAAGGATGCCCTCTACAGGACGCGGGTCCGCGAGAGGTGACTTGCGCGTGTCCGGGGTCCGTGAAAGAAGCTGCGGAATAGGTCCGTCGACATCACGGCATTTGTGGCAAGCTTCGCTGTTTGCATGTGTGTACGCGACCGCGGCCTCGTACAGGAATTGGCAGGCTGTTGGATTTTCAGCACTGCCGTCGACAAGTTGCTGAGTGTGAATTTGCTTGTTGTACGAGCGCGTGTGCGATGCGATATATGATGCGATAGCTTTATCCAAATTCTTGTAAAGGCTGTGAAGGTTGGAGATTCGGAGCATGTTATTGATGAAGGCTACGCGGTTCGGTTCTGACGCGTTGAGAGTATCGGGTCCCGGAAATTTGTTCGCGTGATCAATCAGGGCTTTATGCGTCTGGTTGAATAGGCCATTAGAACGGGAGAGGACAGAATCTAGAGGTCCGTAAAGCCGGTTATGCTTGTTGTGATTTGGATGAGACCACCCCCAAACAGACGGCGAAGGATGTACAACATCGGCGTGATCGGCGTAGTCCACAATATTGTCGGCTGTGGATAACTGTCTCACATGGTCTGTCTCATATCGTTTGAGAAAGTTCAGAATGGTTGCTTTATCTCCCGGAAGCTGCGCGGATGGGTCTGATGTATCTGAGTGGTTACATGTGAATGTGATTTGCACTGAAAGAATATCCGCTCATTCGTAGGGTCAGAAGAGTTACGGTCTTTAGGAACTAGATATAGAATGTTTACTTTGCGCTTCAAAAGAAAGATAGTAAAATACATTGCGCCACAATATCCGCTGCGGTGAGTGTGTTTCCGCGACCAAATGGGAACCACTCGTCGAGTTCCGGTAAAGGTATACTACCGACGGCGGGATGTACCGAGAATAACTGTTCTGCAGCAGGACTGGATGATTGCACCAGCGCGTTTGGGAGCGGTCTTTTCGTTGTAGCGGCAGTAGATGACTTAGTGGTGAATCGCAGGACATGTACGTCGGTAATCGGAGCAGGTATCGGCTGAGTGGTGGCCGGATTTATGTCAGAAGCCAGAATATGTGCACTTGACGTTGCGCTTTTTGGGCGCTCTTCCGCGCATGTGACTTTAGGCTCGTTCAAGTTTTCATATTGCGGATCTCGCTTCTGCGACGTGAAGTAGGCAGTAGATACGGCGGTAGTTGATTCCTCGTATGTTTCCTTGGGGGCGGCTCCGATGCCGGAAGTTTGGGCAACTCGCATTTCGCTTCGAAAACCGCCAGGGGGATTCTCCTCGTCGGAATCTACGTCGCTACTGTTGCTGAGAGGATCATCGACGCTTATTACCCGCGCGCTGCGCTTGTTAGATGCCTTTTTGAAGGTGGCTGCTAGACCCCGAGTCTGGGCAGCCTGCGTCTCGCGGTGAATGCTGCCAAGCGGAGTCTCCGCGTCCGAGTCCATCTCGCTACTGTTGCTGAGAAGTCTCTTGGCGTCATTTGTGTGAGCGCATCGAGTGTAACAGGTGTTATCTGAGACACTGAGTGCCGGCTGCATAAAATTTGACGAAAGCGCACCGGGAATGGGTACATCAGAGGGAAGAGCGTGACTCTCCATCTTTGCACATTGGGTGCTATTGTTGGTCACGGATGCTCTTGCGTTGCCGCTAACTTCCGTGCCGTCGGAGTCCTTTCCTAGTGTCGGTGACGCGCGCGTTAACGGCCGGTCCGAAACTGTTGTAGTGGCGAAAGTTGTAGCGGATGCGGCGCGTCCCACGGCGTGGGTGAGAGGCTCGGACGCTTCCGATTCGTCACTACTGTTGCTTAGTGGCTCCTCAGCGTCCTGTCGCCGGATCGTGCGATGAGGTTCTACGCTATTTCGTGAGATGTGTTTTGATTGCGGCGCCGTTTTGTCTTTGATCGGCGTAACGTTACAAGCAATCTCGTTTACGAGTTTTGACGGTAGCGAATTGTGCGAACGCCCAAGGGGTAGTAGTGGAGATGGAGAAGATACATCGCTGCTGTTACTCAAGAAGTCGATATCTTCGAGCGAATCCGTATGGGCCGTAGCAAGTGGACGTTTTGGGGATGCATTTTCTGTGATTTCCAAGTCGGTACGCTTTTCGGTATGAGCAGCGTGCTGATAGGGGGGTTAGCATAAAGGTTTGACATAGTGTTTTCAAGTAGATCAATTAGGGACTAAAAGTACCATAGCGGCCGAAGGTAAACCCGGAAAGCTTGACATAGTGTTTTCAAGTAGATCAGTTCGGGATTAAAAGTACCATAGCGGCTAAAGGTGTGACGGCGACGCTCGTGTTGGAAGAGTTACCCGCTCCGATTTTCGGGACATTTGAAGTGGTAATGGTATTCGGCGGGGATGCTTCACTGTGTTGCATAGGCTTACGTTTTTTCGCTGATGGTTGGACATTCGGGTCCTGTGCGGGGCCGCGTTTGGACGCCGGTTCCGGGGCGGACGAAGCAGCGGAAGCTCCCGATCCTGTAACGTGTTTGCAAGATCCCCTACGCAAGGAAAAGCAACGGTATAAAAAAGAAACGATCATCATTGTATAAACCCGAATGTAATATTTGCACTAGAGGATACGTTGAGAAACGGCTTATGAACTCCAGATGCTAATAGTTTCTAATACCGGGGATCGTGGACAAGAAGAAACAAGGACTTATTACCCGCTGCAGCATTTAGCGTACTTGTTGTTGCGACATTTTCCGCACGAGGCGTCAGCGCCGCGCTTTTGGCAGTCCCTTTTTTCTTCATTTTGCTTATATGAAAAAGAAGTAACGAGGGCTGAATAGTGTGCCACAATGTGTGTTTACCGTGTTAGTATCAGCAAATGTGTTTAGATGCTTAGGTGAGCAACGCTATAAAATATTTTGCGACACGCGTGATTTCGGCAAGAAAGCCGGGAGTCTGGAAATGTGATGGACGTGTAGGGATAATGAGACAGCGAGATACCGGTACATATGTTGTGAACTAAAATACGGCGCGTGTGCGCGATGATAGGATGTGCGGATGGCGGAAACCCGATTGATATTCCAGATCGTGAATCTGACTGGCGGACAAGATAAATTGTGTGAGTTTTTGTATTTCGATCTGGCAATTGTGATCTGTGTACGGGCAAACGACATGCGAGATTATGCCATCAGACAATGTAAAGGAAGGATCGCGGCGATATCAAATGCCTGGGTTCTATTTCGGGAAGAAGGAGCTTACGCCATTAGGCGCGAGTCAATCTATGTATAACGTCTGGGTATGCTAGATACAATGATACGAACTGCGCACGGCGGGGAATCCGGTTCTGTACTCTGTGGAGTACGGGGTATATTAACTAAGAAAATATAGAATAGTATAAGTGTAGGGGAATTCGAGTTCATGGGAGAACAAACGAGGGATTCGAGTGCATGGGAGAACAATGCAATAGTCGGCGACTTGATGACTAGGTAGCCTGGGAGTCCATCCGTAGTAGCAGGTCCAGGGGTGTGTCCATATTCGCGATTGATATCATCCGCGGGTAAATGCACGAGAGTCGCTGGCTTTTTCGGGTGAAGCGAACGCCGGCTCTCGAAAGAGACATTTATCGAAACAGTTTGTGACACCATCCAACATGTGAAGAAACGCTACTCTGGCATGTCCGCTTTGCAGCTCATCGTGAACATTAGCGAGACTTTGAAGTTTATTCGACAGCAGTGCGTTCTGTGTCCCCGGAAAATGCAGGGATATTGGAACGGCGGTCAACAGTCGAGGGATGGGTCCTTCGGGGTGGTTGTACCTTACATCTGGCTCTGCAAAAGTGCTGTAGTGCCCGTGCCGGTATGAGGTCACCGCATCTATTAGCCACTCGTACATTTGTGGACTGTAGGCGGGGTCTTCTAAAAAGTTGGATATAGTCTCTGCTCCACGTTTTGTAGATGTGCGATGTTCTATGTGCATTGATATAGCGCGGTCGAGGTGATAGTACAGCTGCTGGATGTTGCTCATAGAAACTATCTTCTCAATAAATTCGGTGCGTCCTCGCGTAGTGTCGTGGTGATAAATATCATCTTGGAACATTTCAGCATTCCGTTGCAACGCGGCGTGGGTCAGTTGAAAAAGTCCCAGATCCAATGTCGGAATCTGATTGAGGGCGGTGAATTTTCGGCGATGCTGGTTAACATCTGGATGCGCCCATGTTAAGCTGGAAAATAACGTGGCGCCACCTAGTGGTCGAGTCGGTGTCCGCCGTTCGTCGACTGGATGCGCCGTGAGCGAAGACTCGGTGGGTACGGTTTCCGCGACGTTGATCATGGATGCTGTAGCGCGTCTCTCTTCTTCTTTTCCAAGTACAATCAGGGAATGTGATAACCGATCCTCCTCGTCGCTGCTATTCGTTAATATCTGGATAGTGTGGGAACGAACTAAAAATAAATTCGTTGAGTATGGGAATTCGTGAGACTAGTAAGAAACTATACTTGTAGTAGCTTAGTTGATAAATAGACATGGTAATGATTACTGCGTTTCGGTCGGAGTGGTCCGTTTGAGACGCGCATTTCCTGCTCCGTTTCTGTTGGGTTGGTGCAGACGAGGAACAAGCGTTGGAGGCGTTGCCGCGGCAACGACGAGCATTCGAAGAAGTCACGGGAATACTGTCCGTCGATCGTTTCTGCGTCTTAGTTCTCGGCGGACGATCTGTTTTGGGCAGCGGAAGATAAGTGCGGTAGGGAAAATTGCAAAACCGGAGTACGTGTCTTGCTATGACCTTATCTCATCGGCGTCCAAAGAGAAATGCCTTATGCTGTCGTGCCGCGAATCTATAAAGTGAAGAATTAGATACATACCCGGCTGACTTCCATGGTGGATATTCGGCGGAACAGGGGATCGAGTAAATCTGCGTCGATCGACCGGAGCTTCATCTTTTTCTAGGGACATTGTGCAGACTTGGGGTGCGTTTATGATTTCGGTATGTTCGTTGAAAAAAGTAAAATGGTCACTACGGTCGATTACGCGTTTCAGCTGGGTATGAGCTAGGAGGCGAAAATCTCCAATTCATGTATCTAGATGTGAGCGTCTATCGGACTTAATACTTGAAGTGACGTATCTATTAGTATACAGAGAGAATAGCGTGCACATGTCGGTCCGTGTGTTATGTTTCTTTTCTGGAAGATACATTGGCCGTATAGAGATGATGTGCACGTTGGTCGCCTTTAGTTTAGTCGAGGTCGGGGATGGTGATTTGCAATTTGCAAACTGCGCAGATTTCCTGGCAGAAACCATCTTAAGGAAAGTCGATGATCGAAAAAGACGATTTTTAATATTTACGAGTTGATATAAGAAGGGGTGCCTTTTCTGTTTAAATCTGATCGGATAGCACGCAAGTAGAATTTGCAACAGACAAATGTACTTAGTTTCTGATCGGTTCAAAATGGACCGGACAGCATTCAAGTATATTTTGCGACAGTCGAAGAATATGTCGGATAAAACCCGCTCCAGGTTTTTTCTATTTACGACACAATACGTGATCTCACACACGTGAACACTGTGAGCGGCATATTTAGTCCGTTACAAAGAAACGGAAGTAAGATACGTCTTATATGTTGTGAATGGGGCATGTGAGACATGCATTTCTCGTATACCACGCGACGATCAAGTTTATCTATTTCGGTAGATGCCCAGTGTCGCCCTTTGGGCCAAGGGTAAAGCCTTCCATGGGCATCTCCTCTTGGTCTTGTATCGGCGGCAAATCACTGTCGGCGGGATGTTGGACTGGAGATTCTGTCAAGCCTTTGCCGAGCGCTGCCGCAGCCGCGCGTCGATGCAGATCGTCGTGTAGGGATTTGTCCAGCTGCTTTCCCGTTTCGAGAGCGTCAATTTTCTGCGATCGATCAATGTGGCTGAGGATCAGCATGCGCACTACGGAAACGTGGCATATCCAGCGGCTTATATCTTCAGCCGCTGCGAAGAGATCGGAAATTTTCATTTTCGTGATTACTGTTTTAATATCGGGTATCTCAATCCCGTCTTTCAAACATTCACGAGCGTCAGTCACGGCATCATTTCCAGGCAGTGCACGCAGAATGTCCCCGAACGTGAGAGGAACGGCGATGTCGACATAGCTGCCATTACAACTTCGCAGCCGCATGCCGTCTTCAGGCTTATAGTGCACTAAGCCATATCCGGTGTCATCAACAGCGAGAAGATCACTCGTCGAGGAAGTACCGCCGATGGTAGCGGCAATACCCGCTCTGTCGTGTTTGGGATTATGTTTCGTTGCCGTTGCCGAAATAGGCGGGCTATCTTTTGTGGTCTTGGTCTTTTTCATGGAACTTGCCGGCTGTGCTTCCGCACCGCGCTTCATTGAGGATACAAGACCGGTATCTTTTCGGAGAGCTTTGCTTGTCTTCATCGATCCGGCAAGACGCCCTGGCTTAGCCGGTACCCTCCCGGCTGAATCGGTTAAACCCTGGTCACCTGGAGCACTAGTGTGCGCTGTATCGTCTTCAGGTTTCGGTTGTTCACGAGATGCTGGCTCGGCAGTAGCGTCTTTGCCTGCAGCAGATGCTTCAAGATTTTTGGAGTCAGTATCGGCTGAGCCCTCACCAGCGCGAGATCCCGTCGCGGATACGAGTTTTTCAGCGGGAGATGCCGACACATGGCTCGACATTTTCCCTAGATTATCTTCGCTTGCATCTGTCGGCATAATGTCGCTTGTGCCTGCAACGTCGGATGTCTGTGCTGATGTTCCTTCGTCCCCAAGTTTAATAGATTTATCGAACTTCTGATCCGGAGTAGCGTCCGCAGCTGCATCAGCCGACTGTTTTTTCATAGACCGCGTATCGACGGAGGTGTCGCCTGCGTCAGATGTTTTCAGGGAAATTAGCTTGTCTGCAGGTTTCTCCGGTTCGTGAAGTGCCTCTTTCGCAGGATTATCTTCGTCGGCTTTCCTTGTTAGTACGTCGTGGTCGCCGCCCGTCGAGGGAAAGGTGGCTCCCTCGGATTTGGTCGGAACGACACCCAAAGGAGTATCCCCAGTAGATACTGTCTTGGCTGCTGGAGGACGGGATAGGGGATTACCTCGCTCTGGTCCTGACTCAGGCGCTACCGCCTTGACCGACTTCGGTGACTCAGAGTGTGCTTGGACCGCTACAACGTCCTTGCTCGTATCCTCTGCTGTTGCGACTTCTTCGGCATCTAGTTCTTGTACGTGGATGATGGGCGGTTCGTCCGACGGCGCAACGTTTTTACCGGAGCGGTCGTCGGAAGAACCCAGGGACGGGCGAATCGACTTATTCGCAGGATACTCGCTCGTCGAAGGAACTGGGCGATCCAACAACATGAACCCGGCGACGTAGGTGTCCTTCTTCTTCTTGTCACTACCTGAAGCGATACAGTTGTAAATTCGATATAAATCGTGTTGATCAGTGGTAATTTATTAGCGAGAGAATTGCTGAGTGACCATTTCAATTTCAGAGAAGAAATGCAATACACTGGGGACATGTCTAACAATCTGTGGGGAAAATGCTAATACCCTCAACCACTTCGTCGTTTTCGTCGAGCGCGAAAAACCGGATCTTTCGAATTGCCTCGGATTTCTGCGATGCGAATCTGTTCATCAAGTTCTTGTGCGAAGTGCGGATATCGGATGGGCGCGTGTCGGATTCTTTCGGATAGTACTCCGCGTGTTCGTCGCAAGGAGTTCCCAGTAGTACGCGTACGAGAAATGGCGCCTGCAGTATAGAAGGTGTTGAGTTTCGTATTCGTTTAGCGAAATCGAGAAAGTCTGGGGAGAGTATGAAGTTTACACTATGAGAGACTGCGAATAGCTGAATATTTGCTGAATTTGATTTATGGATAACGAAAAAGCGCGAGAATCGAGCGGCGTTTTCACTATGAAGAACACCAGATGATCGACTAGTTGCAGTTAAAGTACCACGAATGTGCCGACTTCGGTGATGAGTGGTTGCGTCTTGTCAAAATCAGGATTCGTGGATACTTCAATCCCACCTGCGAACCACTGTACTCGTTCGGCGCGCTCCAGCAACTTGAGAAAGACTCTGAAGATTGTTTGTTTGAGGATTTAAACGTTCGTGAGGAGATGGCGCGTAGAAGAGCAGCGCCTTTATATGGACTGCCAATCTATTGAGGACATGACCGCAGCTGCGTCAGGTTAGTTATAGAGTATCATCTTAGTGTAGGACAAATCATAGACAGCGAAATTTTGAACCCCTTAGACTGAATCACCCGCTTTACCACGTACTGGGTGATAACGCGGGAAGTAGTAATTCGTACTTTTTCCATTTTCCACTCGGATGCGCAATCGATGTGACCCGGCATTTATCGTTTTCCTGAAATGTTGGGTACGGCGATAGTAGAGCGAGTTCCTGAAGAGAGAAATCTCGCGATTCCCAATATCCGGCTCCAATATACCAGTACGCTTCGGGTAAAAGCTCACTCGTGAGTTGTACGTCCCTACGGACGGCGTTCGAGTCGGTGGCTCGATCTGCGTCCGCCATTGTGGGTGAGAGATTGCGTTGTAGTGATTGAGTAGGTATTTATCCGATAACAAGCCGACGAGAATACTAGTAACAGACGATAGAAAGTCTAGCCAGAAGACTATTAGCGACCGCGTGTATGTTATTCCCTGGTAAATCACGTAGTATGTAATAGGGTAGGTTCTGTGATATCGAGATGCAAGCCGCGAAATCTGATACCATCGTGCATCCAAAATGTGCACATGTAAAAAATAGATTCTTAATTTTGAAGTTTAGCAAAAATAGAAGTCGGCGGCGAACAAGGTTTCCGTGAACAAATCGAGCAGCGCGTATATCAGAATTCTGAGTGAGAGTGAACGTCTGCACGATTGTGATAATGAGCGAAGTTGGGAGAAGAGCAGCACAAGGGAATTTCTATTCCGTCTAAGATTGGCGATCGCGCGCACCAGTGACTCACACCAGAATGGAACGTACGATCTGAAGCTAGGAGTCGGACGCTGCGAGAGATTTCCATTCTATGTAACACTTCGGATGATCGAACTCATTCAGCGACACAATATAAAAAGACGATAGGTGGGTATCACTCAACGTGCAATATGATCCAAGAGTGGATAATGGAATATCTTTGACCAGGCGAACGTAGCGCAGTGAGATTGTGGAACAGTCTGTCATCGCATAACCCCGGAATTAGTAGTACCACCATAATAAGGGAGTAGCATCGTAACACCGCTACACACGATGTACACCCCACTATTTAGTGTAGACTGCAAAGCAAACTAACGGTGCTTCGGATTAAGCTACAGTCGCATGATTACCGGGCAAGAAGCAGCTAACCGAGGGAAAGTGTCTCGATTGTCACCATTCGTGGCATTTATCGCGAAGCGTTGTCACAGTTGCCGCTGGCATGTTCAACAAGGCCAATGCAGCCGTACAAGTGCCACAAGAAGTACCTTTGAGAGATATCTGAGCTCCTACTTTACAAACCGACTGAGTATACATGTATAGCCATCGACGTTGTAAATGAGTCATGCGTCTCAGCCTCTGAGAAGAGGGTAAGGCGAAAGTAAAACCCACGAATTATCACTGGGACTCATCCCCTGGGTGGTACACGCGGTCATCCCCTTCCTGATCTGAGTCGTCTCCGTCTTCGTCCTCGGATTCCGCCTCTTTATCATCGTTCTGCTGGAAGTCGGCTCCCTCGTCACTTTCCTCATCGTCGGCTGGATCGTTGACATCATTATCGTCCTCGTCGGAAGAACATTGGAGGTCGATCTGTTCCCCACCGTTGTTTTCATCATCGTCGTCCTCTGCGCTGAGTCCTCCGGTAGTTTCCACGCGCCGCGAACTAGCGGTCAAAAAGTGTTCATCTTCGGAGCCGGCGGGGAATAAACGTTTTTGCATAGGTTTCTTCTTTTCGCGGCTTTTGTCTTCGAAGCGCACTCGCTTTGTATTCGTGCTCTGTAAGGCATGAGGAGGATTGGATGAGTCGCGGATTCTCTTCAAAATAGATGGCGCATGCTTCATATGCGGCGTCGCTTTACTCGATTGACTCTTTTTGCTGACCGCATTGGTCGTGGATCGCGCGGACGTATTCACTAAAGCCGGTCGTTCAGTTTTACTCGACGTCTGCTTACTGTGCCCAGTACGCGAACCGGAAGGACCCGAGAACAGAGTTGTGCGCGGAGATGCCACTGATTCTGAGTTAACCCTGAGTGGATTTTCGGCGCTTTTTTTGCAGCGCGTAGTGGATCGCCCGCGAATCGTTGCGGCGTGTTGTTCGTCCATCGACTCACCCGGCCGCGGTCGCGTTGGCACCCATGATTAGCGCGATGATACCAGATTTGACACTAATGCTGAACTCAAAATATGGGAGGTAAGGTGTAAGAAGATAGGTGTGGGTAATGTGTATACTTCTTAATCTCCGGAATCGCGCTGGTAGATAGCTCGCGATTGCTTCAAGAAGTTGGTTGCCGCTTCAGCGTAGGTTCGTTGAATCGCTTCCTCTGCTGGAGATTAGATTTCTTCGTCGATTATTGCGATCTTACAACATGACAAGTTCGTGTGTGAGACTTCGAGCGTTTTGGAAACTCGCAACATTATTGCGACATGTACATTCCTCATCGCTAAAGTTACGTTATGCCTTAAAGCGCCTCGTCGACCGTGCCTTTCCAGTGCCGATTTTTATCATGCGACTTCTTGAGCAATGCCTGATATGAGGTTCCTCCATTTCCGACGATGTGATGAATCAGCGTATATTAGAGGTAATTTGCAGAGTCACTAACTGCAATTTAAGTAAAAAAAGGAGATTCGCAAGTTTACTGCGCAAGTTAGCGGCAAGTTACCCTTGCTTTATCTACGCCAGGTTGCGTACACCGTAATTTTGTGACGACGTGCACCAGTCGTCAATCTTTTTCACTGCCATGTTCACGACGCGTTTCGGCGAAGGTACACGCGGGCGTAATTCTGGCGACCTTTTCGGGGTTTTGGTTCCCGTATTAGTCGCCTTGGGTTTGCCCGACAGTACGCCTTTACTGATCTTCGCTTTCGGGGCGCCTGCCTTGGACTTACTTTTCATACTAGGCTTAGGCGGAGGTGGACACGCTGGACCACGCTCGTCTGGCGTTTTGAGTTCAATTTTGTAGCACGGCCAGTTTTCTCCCGGGGGCGGCACCCACTGAAGATGTTTGAAATCGCCCTCATACATCTTCAACAAACACACGTGAGGATCGGAGATCCCGCGGTCGCACGAACGGACGACGAGGCGAGCATACAACGCGCCCTGAAGTGTAGAAGATGAGTACCGTGCAGAATTGTGTAGTTGAATTTCGCACCTTGAGCTCGGATAAGAAATGATACTCACAAAAGTAAACAGAAAAGCCACCACCGCAGCGCGATGACGGGTACGACTCATAGAAAAACGTGATTACCACAAAGCATTCGTCAGGAAGAACCGTATCCGGAGGATAGTTATCGTCTCGCTCGGGTAAGAGCCCACTGCGCATCTGAGCGTCGATCGTGGCTTGCGTATACCTGCAAAACATAAGATAACACAGCGATGCATATGAAGACGAGTAGAGAGATGGGCAATCAATAGACGAATCCAATACATTCCATGGCATGCCATGGTGCAAGGTGCTATAGACAAATTTATACGCGTCCCACGTTTTCTTCTCGTCATCCCAAATCATGGCGTTTTGGACAATTACGGTGTCCCCGTTTTCATCTCGTTGAACAAACGACGTCGCATCTCGCATGAACGACATCTCCCAATCCGACTGTTTGAGCGCTTTTTTCCAGCGTCCGGCTGTGCGGTGAAATTAGACATGGAATGCATATAGCGATAAAGTAACACACGCACGTGTGAAATAGTAAGGTAGAGATTATTTGCCGTCCATAAAATTGTTCCGGGACAAGCCGCTCAAAGAGTACTTCCCGTGACGTCGACATGTTTTACTCTAGCAGTACTTCAGAAGCTGACGAATCTAACAACGGAAAAGGTAAGATCGGCTGCAATTCTGCTACCAGTTCAATATTGTTCCCTGTCGAGTGTTTGATGGGCGATGGTGGTAGTTGTCCGCAGCTCGAGATATATGGTCACTTATTAGTCCGAAGAGGAAATAATCTGGGGAACATACGATTGGAGCAATTTGACTTGAATGGTCATCAAAAAGTGAGACTATTTGGGCTGCAGAGTTTGCAGCGTCTAGTTGATGGGCGATGATATGAGAGGGGGTCACGTCTGATAAGCACAAGAGAGCCAATGCAGGTCGATATCGCGGCTGTCAACAACGCGCCTTTCATTAAAAGTCTTGAATCTAATCTACAGCACATGTATCTAGTCAACGCCCGTCAGTCTGCTAATAGGTCGTCTTCTTGATCCGGTATATCTTCATCTTGCACGGCAGCGGTAGGCGCGGTCGACTCGTTGACTTTGCGGGATTTCGTCCTACTTTTGGCGGTTGGTAAAGGCTGCGCCCGCTTGCGGGGAGCTTCTTCTTGTCCATTGTTAGCAAGATCTGGGAATTCGTCAGGTTCTACATCAGCAAGGCCAGGAACATCGACTGTGCACCCGCGGTGCATCTGCGCGTCTTTGAGGTCTGCAATAGCTACCGTTTTAGCTAATAAAAACGCGGTGCCTCCGGAGAGAAATTTCTGTGATGATGTGGGAGTGAAGTATTAAACTACATGGTGCCGATATACCCAGCGCTCAAGTTCGAGATCTCAACAAAATTAGAGGAGGAGGATGGGACAGCGAAACAAAAAATAAAAACGGTACTATTCCGACCGCCTCTGGATTCATTAAGTTTTCGTGAATGTCCCGCGCTGGTGTCACGGCGAACGACGGCCCAAACCGGTAATCGTATTGAACTGGAGCAAGTATTAGAGGCGACTACAGAATGTGACAGCGTCGTACGTTATAGTAAGGATAAAGTGGTGGAGTTCGGAGCTAACCCTTTCCATAACAAGCGAAGCTCCGGCGCGTTCTCTTCCACCTCTCCTCGCCATACGCAGTGCCGGATCGTGTAATTTGTTTTGTGCACATGTCGCCCAGTTGTGAGTTCCCAGTGTGCCCACGCGAGCCACTCTACCGCCAGCGGGGTCTGAGATATGTTGAAGTAAAAATTACCCATACGAGAAGGACGAAACTGTTACAATTGTAGCGCCGCGGGATGGTCCCCGAGCGCTATAGAAGGAGAACGTAAAACTGATACGAAACGAGTCAAGGATGCCACTGAAACGCGATGCGTCACTATACCACGTCGGTTCCAACTGGCCAAGGTTCGAGATAGCGGGCGCCATCGGGGTTAGGCGGGAGAATACCACGCGGCGCCAGTTCTTGGAGGGCGAGCGCGATGTTGTGTTAGAGAGAAAATTGAACACACAGAATACCTTAGCGGAGTGGATTTAGACAATGCAGCCATAAGCGTTTTTCTTGCGATCCCTCAGTTTCTTGGCTAGCTCCCCTTCGGACATTTCGATTTCAGCTTTAATCAGTGCCTTCTGCGCGGTCTCTACGACGCTGAATAAAGTCAGAAGATCGTCCATCGAATAATTAGAAGCGGACTATCATGTAAAATTTTGGGTAGAACCAATGGACACAGCGATCTGGATCAACGTCGATTGTACTGCATCATAATTGTAGGTTTGCGGCATATGACGTCGACAGGGGCTTTGACCATACACTCAGCCAGAAAGTCTGGAACGTTCACGGTTATGTAAGAGCGGGCCACTCGTTGAATCTCGTCTGGCGGCAACCGCTCTGGAGATGGTAATGTCTTGACTTTATCGAGCTCTAGTGGCGCTCTTCGCGAAATATCGCCGAGCGAACTTAACGTTGCGGCAGCCGTGAACAAGTTGCGCATCATTTCGCGCCCGCGCGTTTCCGAGAGCCGCGTCTGTATAATCAGAGGGATGAATAAAGTTAAAGGCGGACACGTTTAAGCTAGTGCTCTCGACAGGGAATCTTACGAACCCGCGAAACTACCAGGAAGACTATCGGAAGAGTACGACGAAAGACGTGTACCAAATCTTTGGGCATGAGCGGGACTGGGTCAAGCGCCGGGACTTGGCAAACCGGTGCAGAGAATAGCGGCCCAAGACGTGCGTTGTAACAATGCGCCTTGTTAAGTTTCGATGGTTGCAAATACCCGGCATAGCGGCCGTAGTAAATCGGTATGTCGCTCAAATGAATCGCTACCGGTGCTTCTTGGTGCAATCGATCAAGTTGTTTGTAGGTCTCCGCCATGACTATCGCGTGGGTATTAGAGAACAGACTCAACTCTACAAGGAAGTGGATAATATTGGAAACGCAAGTAACCAAGAAATGGCCAAAAATAACGGACCTGCCGGCGACCCCGTTGGATATTTAAAAGACCGGCGGCTCAGTCGAGATCAAACTAGACAAGATAGCCGCTCCATTAACCCTAAAGCTTGAATTCGCTGGGAACCACTGGGTGACTGCGTGGCTGTAGATCGGCGGCGTTGCTCCCATTGGCCCATAGTGTACGCGAAGCGACGTATTGACGTTCGACTTAATTTCCTGAATCAGCTTTGCCAGCCTCTTGTCATTTGTCCCACATCCGGCAGTCTGCTTTAATATCTGCTCTCCGCCTACTTCGTCCCAAACAAAACTCCATTGCCATTCCTGACTATTGAAGCAGTTTTTTAGGAGGCCGTTCTTCTTCCCTCGTTTCTCGATAAGATACTGCTGCACCGTCACTTTGACTTGAGGAACCTCGATTTTATGTCGCGGCATCTTTTCGAAACACTCGCGTGGTATGATGCCCGAATTGACCTGAAAAGAGGTTGATAGAAGCGAGAAAGAATAGCGTCCAAGCATAGCTCATAATATTTTCCTGTACAACACGAGATGCGTGCAGCACACGACTAATGTCCACATGGGGATAGCGGAGATGTCTTAACCGCAGATATGCCACCTATATTATTACACAAATACTACGCGACAGCACGGTTTAGCTATTACAGAGCAAGACTAGGGTCCATAACAGTACTGGAGGTTGTATTCTCGTGTGTGCAGTAGATGTATACGTAGTTGTGGGACCACAGCGATCAATGTGTATGTGATGCGCTAGGCCTAAAAATTTTAGGATCGTAACCTACTTTGCTGCACAGGAAAGAATCAAAACCTTACGGGGCTCGATGGTAGAGCGAGCGATGACTCAAAAGAGTGGATATCATTTCGTGTACAGTAGATGCATCGTTAAGTCTTTTGCGCAGTGATCGTCGCGATGCACCGTGCTTAGGATTTGTAAAATTGCGACCCACTTGTTAGTACACGAGATGACTGCAACTATATGGTGCATAGGGAGAAGAGGTCCGGTTTATAGGACAAGAGCGTGTATCAGCTCATGTCTAGCGGATATGTCCGTAAGCGTTGTTGCATTGTGATCATTGTGATACACTATGCCTAAAGTTTTTACGGTTGCACCTTACATTGAAGGACACGGAATCTCTTATCAAAACTCGCTGATAGCGTTTGAATTTAGCCTGAACATATACGTTGAACGTGGCGTGTGCCTTTCTAAATATATGCCCGCTATGGTAGGTACCGTTTAGGAGTGGGAAAGTCGCGGTGTGTGAAAATTGTAGGAACCGACGTGTGTGAAAATTGTAGGAATCGCGAAGATCGACTCCTCAAATAAAACTCGGCGCAACAACGGAATAGCGGGTGTTGCCGGAGGACATTGTTTCTTACCCTAGAAGGATTATAACGCGACGACGGCAAAGTTGAGTCCCTGTTTCTGCGAAAAAGTGGATTTTGATCTGTCAACTAGATGACATACCAGTATGATGGGAGATTAAGCTACCAAGTGAATATTTGGAATAAAGGTTGACCACGCGGGGAACTTGGGTCCAGCAGGCGAGACAAATTCGCGACAAGGTATCGCCACAGTGGACTTGATTTTCATCTTATCAGGGCAGGATCTCGGATGCCACAGAGATGCGGTAGAGTCACGTGGATCGCAGCAACTGAAAATGATTTTTTCACGGTGACACAAGATCGATCGATGAGAAATTTCCTCAAATGTTACATAATAATACCTCGCGTATTGATTCTCCACGAGTGTTCATTTATCAAGTGTATGTTAGTACGTGATGCATGTTCAAATTCAAATTCTAGAGCATCAGTTTTATTTTCATTGGGGAGATAATTTAAGATCGCCGAAACCTGCAGCGAGACAGTGGCAGGGTGCTTAGTCTCGGTAATCGCAGCTCTATGGGGGGCTGGGAAGAGTGA